ATCTGCATATTTAACATAGTCTCCATCACTTCAAATAATCAGCACAATAATAAATCATACTGTGCTTTATACTCTGCCAGTTTCTGACAATTTAACAACTGGCTCTCTCCAGTTCCAGCTGGCTTCAGCACATCCCTATGGTCAAAACCATTGTTTGAAGTTGTGCTTCAAGACAGTCCAGAAGAACGGCTTTGTCTCTCCCTCCTTGGGGTTTTTCCCCTTCCATATGCCACGTGAAAGATGTTGGGGAGCCCATGTTATCCATCCTTCTCTCTGTGGGCAGCATGGTGCAGTGAACAGAGCTTTGAACCTTAAAGTAGGTTCACATCCCAGCTCTGACACTGACTGACTGTGTGATCACAGGCACATCATTGAGCCTCAGTTCTTTCAGTTGTAAAATGGGCATTTTTTTAAAAAACTGTACCACTACCTCTCAGAATTATTGGGAAGCTCAAATGAGATGACATATGCAACCTGCTATATAAATGTCGGTTATCATTAGGTACTTCTTTATGGGGGCAGTGGATAGAGCTCTGGACCTGGAGTCAGGAAGACCCATGTTCAAATCTGGCCTCAGACATTATCTGTGTGACCCTAGGCAAGTCACTTTACCCTTTTTGCCTCAGTTTTTCCTCATCTGTAAAATGAGCTGGAGAAGGAAATGGCAAACCACTCCAGTATCTCCGCCAAGAAAACCTTAAATGGAGTCATGAAGAGTTGGACATGACTAAATAACAACTTCTCTGTTCTGAGGGGATTAACAAATCTGCCTTTGACTAACTACAACTCAATCATCTCCCATGTCTCCTCCCCACCTGTGTTGTGAGTTAAAAATGAGATAATAGATCTGAAAGCATTTTGGAACTAAAAACACTAAATCAATTCAAAGTGTAAAGAGAGAACTCGATTATGATCTTTAATAACTACCATTCAGGTAGCATTTTATGACTACAAAATATCAGCACGCATTTATTTTATATATATTATCTTGTTTGATCCCCACAACCACCCTGGGAAGTAGGTGCTATTATTATCCCCATTTTACAGATGAAGAAACTGAGGCTGAGAAAGGTAAAGAGTTGTCCAAGGTCACATAGCTTATAAGTATTTGAGTCAGAATTTTCACTCAGATGTTCCTGACTCCTGGTCCAACAGTCTAGCCACTGCAGCACCCATGTTTGCATACCTGGTCTTGCTTATATACCTGGTCTCATTTATATACATGGCCTCATTTGATCATATATGGCAACTAATATGAGTATTATTTTCCCCATATTATAGGTGAGAGGGGCATCTCGGAGTTTAAGACCTGCCTCTGACATATATTAACTGTGTAGTTAATAACAACAACAATAATAATAGAGGCTCAGACCTAGAGTTGGGAAGACCTGAATTCAAATCCAGCCTCAAATACTTACTAGCTCTGTGACCCTGGGCAAGTCACTTAACAATTGCCTGCCTGAATTTCCTCATCTGTAAAATGGGGATCATAATAGCACTTGCTTCCCAGGATTATTGTGAGGATCAAATAAGATAATACCATGAAGCCCTTTGCAAACATAAAAGCACCATATAAATGCAGCTACTGTTATTATTAACCATAGGAGAGCTGCTTCATTTCCCAGTGCTATAGATGACTGTTCTAAGAGTATGTTGAGTTGCTGGTCTGCACTGGTGGAGGAAGCTTCCACAGTGGGAGTTCCCCCACAGTGATGAAATCACAGGTTGGGACCAAAAATTTTAAAATTTACAGATGAAAGTAACTGTAACTAGGAGATATGAAAGCATTTTGCCCAAGGCCACTTAAAAGAGCTAAGACTCGAAATCAAATCTTGCAACTGTCAAGTCTGATGTGATTTCATTTACTCCTCCCAATGTTTCTGCTTTACTCTTCTTTCTGTTTCCCTCTCCCCCCCTATTCATTATCGTGCTCATGGACATATACTGTAAGTCAGGTTTGGGTCCCTTCTTATACAATGGCATGTAAATAAAAGTAGACATCTATAACACAGACAATAAAGAGATGAAAAGAGCTCTGGACAAGGAGTTAGGAGGACTGGATTTTCATCCTAAATCCATTAACAAGCTGTGTGACCCTGGACAAGTCACTTAACCTCTGTTTGCCTCAGTTTCTGTAAAATGGGGATATTAATAGTACCTACCTCAAAGGGTTGTTGTGAGAATCAAATGAGATAATAATTGTAAAGCACTTATCATATGTCTGAAATATAATAAGCACTAGGTAAATGTTAGCTATTATTCACTTCCCTCTCTGTAGTTTTCCACTTGCTCCAAAGAGGTAGATAGATGGTGCAATGGATAGAGGGATGGATCTGGAGTCAGGAAGACCTGAATTCAAATCCAGCCTCAGACATTTACTAGCTGTAACCCTGGGCAGGGGCAAGTAAGTGGTGCAGTGGATAGAGCACTGGGCCTGGAGTCAGGAAGACTCATCTTCCTGAGTTCAAATCCAGCCTCAGACACTTACTAGCTGGGTGACCCTGGGCAAGTCACTTAACCCTATTTGCCTCAGTTCCCTCATCTGTAAAATGATCTGGAGAAAGAAATGCCAAACCACTCCAGTATCTTTGCCAAGAAAATCCCAAATGGGGTCACAAAGAGTCGAAAATGACTGAATAACAACAACAAATCCTAGGCAAGTCATTTAACTTCTGTTGGTCTCAGTTTCCTCAATTGAAAAATAGATAATAATAGCACCTACCTGCTCCCCCAGGATTGCCGTGAGGCTTAAACGAGATATTTATAAATGGCTTAACATAGTACCAGTAGGTGTTTAATAAAATGCCTGTTTCCTTTCTTCCCCACAACTATCTTTGGGCATGGTCCAGCGTAAGGATATACAAGAGAAGTTCATATTGTGTTAACATTTTTCAGCCAGGGAAACAAAACGCTAATTGTCTAATGGCTAGACTGTAGCTGTTTCTGTGCAAAAAGAATGAAGTTAGAATGAAAAGAGGTGCAGGGGTGGTCTGTTACCGTAATGTAACCTGGGGCATCATTAGAGACATTTCCAATGGAAATGCTGCCTGGATTTCATCTTGAGTTTCCTGAGATGGATGCTGCAATTGTGAGCTCATCTGGAGCATGGTTAAGCTTTTGGACTTGCTAAATGTAAATGCGCTTCCCTCACTCTCCATAAATGGCTCTTTCAGTGTTTGGCAAGATCAGCCATTGTTGATTCTTTCTCCTACGACCCTATGGCACTTGCAAACATCAGTTTTCCCAGCCCCTCTAAAGGCTGGTTAGTGTTCATGTTATACAGCTGGTTAATATACACATAAGACAGCTAATTGATATTCAGGATATACAGCTGTTAGTGTTCAAGTTATACAGAAAGAAGAGATAGATTGGCTTCTCTCAACATCCAGCAGGTTTTTGTGGTTGTTTTGGGTTGAGAGGGAGGGATATCAAACAGGCAACAGGCAATGGGAAGAGTCATGGTGGAGGACACAGACACAGACCAAGAGACAGTGCCTTGGAATGTCAGTTTCATTTTAGAATGTAAGCGTCCTGAGAACAGGAACCATATTTTTTTGCATGTTCTGTATCATACCCTGCTTATTTAAGATCCTCAGGAAATACTGATAACGATGAAAATTTTTAAAAACCCACTAACTCTTATTGTTTAATGCTTTCATGAATCTTGGGATCCTGGAATTCTTTCTAGCTGGAGGAAAAATAAACTTTAGAATCACCAAGCATTGTGGTGGAATAGAAAGGATGCTGGCCCTGGATTCAGGAAATTATTGTTGTTCAGTCATGTCCCACTCTTCATGACCCCATGGACCCTAGGTAGCATGCCAATACTGTCCATGGGATTTTCTTGGAAAAGATACTTGAGGGATTTACCATTTCCTTCTCTAGTAGATTAAGGCAAACAGAGGTTAAGTGACTTGCCTAAGGTCACAGGCTAGCAAGTGTCTAAGGTTGGATTTGAACTCATGTCTTTCTGCCTCTGTACTCAGCGCTGTATCCATTGAGCCACCTAGTTACCCCAAGAGTTGGGGGATACTTGAGTTTAAATCTCTGGACCAACAATTACTAGCTGTTTGACCTCAGGCAAGTCACTTAAACTTTCTGAGCCTCAGTTTCCTCATCTGTAAAATTAGAAATAAAAATCTGTAAAATATTACTTAGACTACCTGCCTCTCTAGGTTGCTATGAGGAAAGTGCTTCAAATCCCCAAAGTTCCATATAAATGTGAATTTTTCTTATTAGGTCTAACCCCTTCATTTTACAGATGAGGAAACTAAGGCCTGGAGAAGTTTTTTTGTTTTGTTTTGTTTTGTTTTTTTGGCAGTTGGGGTTAAGTGACTTGCCCAGGGTCACACAACTAGTAAGTGTCAAATCTGTGGCTACATTTGAACTCAGGTCCTCCTGACTCCAGGGCCCGTGCCCTATCCACTGTACCACCTAGCTGCCCCAGGCCTGGAGAAGTTAAGTGAGTTACCCAAGGTCACACAGGTAGTAATAATAATCATGATAATAGCTAACATTTATATAGTACTTTAATGTTTGCAACACAATTTACTTATATTATTTTCACTCGATCCTCACAACAATCCTGAGATATATGTGCTATTATTCCCATTTTAAAGATGAAGAAACTGAGTCTTAGAGCAGTTAAGTGACTTGCCCAGGGTTCCACAGGTAGTAAGTATCTGAAGCAGGATTTGAAAACTAAGGAGGCCCTCCTTCACTCTATCTACTCTTGTAGGTAGCTGCCTAATTAAGGAAAGAAGAGGAGATTTGAAACCAAGTCTTATGATTTGAGTGTTACCACTGTATGGCTTGTCCACTTACTGCTGAGCTAAGACTAGAACTCATCTGACCCATCCTCCCACCCCAGAGCAGTATTCTCATCTACTCTTTCCATCCCACTGTTGCCAATGTTTCAGGAGCTGCTTGAGGGCCCCCATAATTATTCTCTCAGAGCCAGGGAATCCACCTCTACCTTTTTTTAATCTTGCTCTCTTCAGGAATCAACTACTGTGCACAGGGTAAACATGGCTGTGAGCATGAGTGTGCAAATGCAGAAGAAGGCTACTACTGCCGATGTCGTCCTGGGTACACCCTAAACCCCAATGGGAAGACTTGCAGAAGTGAGTATTTGGCCCAAACTGACATGGATCATCCCCCCCCTGCTGGGGTTGGGGCATGTGAGTACCAAACGGGAATTCTCTCCCCAAACCTTTGGAGATGATGGCCAAACAGCCTTGTTTTTGTGAAGGGCAGCACAAACACCATACTCAGTTATGGGCAGATCAGTCAATCAGCAAGCATTTCTGAAGTGCCTGCCGTGATCCAGGCTCTGGGGATACAGAGACAAAACAAAAGAATTCCACTGAAGGCAGAACTCACCACCTCCCAAAGCTGTCTATTTTTCTTTTTAGATAAAGCAATGATCAATAAGTAGTCAATAAATATTTATTAAGCTCTGACTATGCTTCAGGCACCATGATAAGTTTGAGGATGCAAATACAAAAAAGGACCATCCCTGCACTCAAAGAGCTTACAATCTACTGTGGGTAGACAACACATAAAATGAAGCTGAAAGGCTGGGGAGGAGAAGAGAGAGAAGGGTAAGGTACCAGTATCAGGGGCATGGTAGAGAAGAGTAGTGAGGCCAGATGAGAAATGAGGAGATTTCTAATCTGAGCTTCCTCCTTAAATGGAGGTTTGGGAGTTCATGCCCCTCTCCCTCCAGTCAAAGGCAGGGGATAAAGATAAGGTGGAGCGTAAAGGCAGATGGGATCTGCCTTTGCAGGAGGATGAGGTTTTTCCCAATAACGAGCTTCCTGAGTCATGGTGGAGAAATCTTAGAGAAATGCAGCCAGTTGAGAAATGAGTAACTCTCATTAGGTTTGGGGTGGTTCCCCACCCCCAGTTAAATTGAGCCTGATCTGTGCTTTCCTTCCACTTGCTGCTCCTAGATTTGCCCCCATGGGCTAAGCAGAAGTCTTGCCTCCTTGCCATGTAACCGCCCTTCAAACACCTGAAGACAGCTATCAGCCTTAAGATGGTTTTCAGGCAGTAATAGCATTACTGGCCTCTCTAGATACATAATTGACTTATTAGTATTAAAAATGGAAGAAAGAAAAGAAAATTGGTAAAATAGTCTAGTCGAGGCAAGTCTGAAGTAATAGCATCCCAATTACCAGAAAACTGAGCTGAGTATAGTGGGGCATTTACTTTTTAGGCATTTTCTTAATTCCCTCATCTAACAGCCCACAACAAAGCTCTATTTAATGATGTAAGCTCATGGAAAAATGGAGACTTTGCCAACTGGAAATTTCTGTAGCTTTTTACAAGTCATGGTCTCCACTTTGCTTGCTCCAGCCAACAGGGCTGGAAACGACGTATGTTAAATCAGGATGGATTCCTGTAAATCTGCCATATTTGGGGGGAAGGGCGTGGAGAAGGAGAGCAGTAACTTGTCTTGGGGAAAAAAAGGGATCTTTGTGTCATTGCTGATAGCCATGGACCTCACTGAACATGGACTGTTCACCAAGCTAGCTGCACATCTGTAAAAGCTTTAGGACAGAGATACATTGTGAATGAGAACAGTGCAGCTGTTAAATATTTGAATCATAAATTGTTAAGAGAGAAAGTTTCAAAGACAAAGCATTAGGTACAGACTTGTCCTCGTTAAAAATTGTTTCCTTTTGAGTCCCTAAGAGAGACAATCAACCAGCATAAATATACTAAGGACTGACTTTTAGAAATGCCTCTAGATACACATTTTCCGGTAAGTTGGTATAGAAATGGAGCTAATCCAAACACTTTCCCAGACTCCATCTTCACAACATTCATGAAGACCCTGTCTTATCTGGCATTCTGCCTCTGAAACCATAAGCTAAGAAAAGAAGCAAAGTGAAAGTCTGGACTAATTAATTCCATTTGGCAGATAAATATTCAAAGACTTATTTATCATGTTCAAGGCACTGTGCTAGGTAGTGAAGAGTAAAAATTTGGGGAAGGGGAAAAAACAGTTCCTGCCCTCAAGAAGCTTATAGTCTCCTGGGAGATGGAATGAAGTATATGTCATGTAGACAAATAAGAATTATGATAGATAGATAGATAGATAGATAGATAGATAGATAGATAGATAGATAGATAGATAGACAGATAGAGTGAGTATTTAGTAAATGTTTATAATGTACCAGATACTGTGCTAAGTGCTAAAGACATAGATAAATATAAGCAAGACAGTACTTGCCTTCAAGGAGCTTACATTTCTAAAATTATAAAGGTATAAAGTGATAGCTACAAAGGAAAATCCAAATAAAGTGCTTTAGGAAGATTTGAAGAGGGAAGGAAGATGATTTTGATCTGAGATCAGGGAAGGATTAATGGAGGTGGTGACACCCAAGTTGAGCCTTGAAATAAAGAAGGATTTTCAGTAAGTTGAGATGGGGAAATGAGCAGAACTATAATTAACCAAGAATATTTTTACCTGGGGAGAAAAAGCAGGTGGGTGGGAGCAGCAGGTGGCACATAGGACAGCCCAACCATAGGTATGTTTGCATAAGGAGAGGGGACAGTCCAACATTGACATTATCAGAGATCAGAGGTAAGATCGGCCCTGTGACTTCGGTACCATGGCAGTGAGTCTCTGGAGCAGGAAGAGGTGACACACAGATTGGCTCAGCTCCTCTCAGGAAGGAAATACTCACCCTGTCAGTGCCCTGGGACACAGCCCCATTCCCCCATGAAAGTGTCGGTTCTGGGAAGGAGTGCTTTTCAGATATAGAAGAATAGCCTGCACATATGCACAAATGAAGGAGATTGAGCGAATGATTAATAAGCATTTATTAAGTACCAGCTATATGTCAGGCACATTTCCTGCCCAAGGATATAACAAGAAAATGGCTCATGTAGCTAGAATGTAGATTGTATTAAAAGGAGTCATACGAAATAAGGTGGGAAAAGTAGGTCGGAGCTGGGCTGTCAAGGACTTCAGATACCCAGCTAAGGAAATAATACATTGTCCTAGGGTATGCAATAGGGAGCTACTGAAATTTTATGACTGAGGGGGTAATGAGGTCAGATCTGTATCTTGGAAACATTATCATGGCAGCTGTGTGAAGAATGGATTAGAAAGGAGAGAGAGACTGGAGGCAGAGCATGGTCCATTTAGGAAACCATTATAATAATAGGGGTGAGAGGTGATAAAAGAAGACCTAAAGAAGTTCTGAGAAGTGGAGATGGGATATAAAGAAGCTCAGGATAGGTGACTTCATTCAGGACTCAGATCTGTGTCAATCCAACCTTCTTCAGACACAAGTTAAATCCCACTTTATGGGCAGTCAATGCTACCAGAGTATCTAGGGATCAAATGAATGTCTGACCTAGTCATATGCAGATCAGACCCTGTGGTTTATGTAGATAGAATAATAAAACCTGAGAATTAGGAGCTACCTTAGAGATTGTCTAGTCCAGCCTCCCACCCACTGCAAGAATCTCCTTTAAAATTCCCTGGCAAGGCATCATTTAACCTCTAATTGAAGACTTCCAGTGACAGGGACAGCTAGGTGGCACAGAGTTCATGATCTAGTCTCAGATATTTAATAGCTGTGTGACCTTGGGCAAGTCATTTAACCTCTGTTTTGCTTCAGTTTCCTCAACTGTAAAATAGAAATAATAATAGTACCTACCCTCTCAGGGTTACTGTGAGGACTAAATGAGATAACTGTTAAGTACTTAGCACAGTACCTTACACATAGTATGCACTATACATAGATGATATTTCTTTTTCTATATATTTAATTATAATATTATATATTAATCTGTATTCTATATATTATAATTATATATAAGTATAGCTTATAATGATGTATTATTATCACTATTATTATCATTATAGGGAACTCAGTACCTCACAAAATAGTCTATTTCATTTTTTGACGCCTAAAATTGTTAGAAAGTTTTTTTGCTAACATTGTGCTAGAATCTTCCTCCTTATTTAGAATTTCTGCTCTCTGTTGATTCTGTTTATTGAATTTTGCAGTTATTGGTAATAGATACCGCTATCTTGTGATATGGGCCAAGAGATACCAGAGAGTTAGGTGATCTTTTGTGGAATCCAGCTCCATTCTCAAGCCTTCGACCCTACACTTAGTTGCCATCCCAATGTACTACCCCTGCTTCCAGGAGTTACATTTTTTTTCCTCCTAAAAACAAGCACTAGAAACTCTTTGTCCAAGCAGTAGCATTTTTGCCAAAATTGTAGTAGATAGCCCTGGACTTGAAATCAAGAAGATTCTAAGTTTAAATCCTGCCTCAGACACTTACTAGCCGTGCTTAGCACAGTGCCCGGCACATAGTAGGCTCTTAATAGGTGCTAATTGACTGATTGGCTGGCCCTGGGCAAGTCATTTAACCTCTCTGTGCTTCAGTTTCTTCATCCATAAAATGGGAATGATAATAGCACCTACCTCCCAGGGTTGTTACAAGGATAAAATGAGATTCACAATAAACATAAATGCTTTGCACACCTCCAAGTGTTATATAAGGAGGTAGGGCAGCTAGGGAGTGCAGTGGATAGAGTCATGAAGACTCATCTTCCCAGGTTCAAACCATGGGCAAGGTGCTTAACCCTGTTTGCCTCAGTTTCTTTATCTGTAAAATGAGCTAGAAAAGGAAATGGCAAACTATTCCAATATCTTTACCAAGAAAACCCCAAATTGGGTCACAAAGAGTCAGATATGCCTGAAACGACCAAACAACAAGAAGTACTATATAAATGTTAGCACTTTTCTATCATTCTCTCCAAACCAGCTGTACTAGTTTTTAATCACCAAACAAATGTTCTTTGTGGTTGGGGTTCTTAGAGAAGTTGGAGGGAGATTATCAAAATGTTATCACAAACCAAGCAAGAATCTTTCAGGTTCAAAACAGTAAAGAACAAAGTTCATTTTAGAACTGTGACTTCTACTCAGTAACAAATGCTTTCAGGATTATTTCTTGGTCGTTGAAATTGTACAAGTAATCCCCTTAAGAAAAGAGTGAAAGTGGCAGAGGATGGTTTTCCTAAGAGGAAACAATCTGTGGGATAAAATGCCATGTGGGCATCTCCTTGTTCTGATTGGTGATGAATTGAAACAACACAAAATCCCCCAAGCACGATTTGTTTTTAAATCCCCAATCACTGTTGACTTTCTTTTTCTCTTTGTTCACTCACTTCAATGCATTTAGGAGTGGATCACTGCGCAGAGAACAACCATGGCTGTGAGCAGCTGTGCCTAAATACAGATGACTCATATGTGTGTCAGTGTTCAGAAGGCTTCGTCATTAATGAGGACCTCAAAACCTGTACAAGTGAGTCTCTTTCCTTGGCTCCTTCAAAAAGTCTCTTTTCTATGTCAATTCAATTTTACCAATATGACCCTCTCTGAGCTACAGTTACCATTACACTAAATTAAGTAGAAGGTTAGGATGGAAGCAGGGGAGAGAAGGGTTAACTTTTTTTTTCATTAAAACTGTACATTGGAATTCTATTCTCCATCTGTTTCTTTGCAGCTTTTAAAGAGAAATAGGTATCTGAACCACCTTTTACCTGTATCAGGGGGATTGTGATGAGATTGTATGTTGAATTGCATGAATTTTTTTTGCTTTTGTTAACAAAGGTTGATGTAACAACCTTTTGTTGTTACATCACATTCATTTCCAAATATGTTGTTTTCCCTTTCTCTAATGAATAAGCCATCCCTTAAAACAGGAGTGGAGAACATGTGACCTCTAGGTCCTCAAGTGAGAGCCCTTTGACTGAGTCCAAACACACATGTAGCCTCAAGGCTGCAGGTTCCCCACCTCTGCCTTAAAATGAAGATTGAAAAAGAAAGGGGTGGGGTGGAATCAGCAAAACCAGCTAATGTGTCAGCTGGTCTAAGAACAGATGCTTTACTCTCCCACTTTTGCAACAAAGGAAAGGAGATATATTTTCTCAACTTTTCTCTAGGCATTGTGAAGCTAGGTCATTATAATTACACGGTCTTCCACTCCATTTTATTGTTTTTTCTAGTCACATTGTTGTAGTCACTGTGTATTTTTTTTTCCCTACTTCTATTTATTTCACTTTGTATCAAGCTTTCTTGCATGTATCATAGTCATCATTTCTTACAGCACAGTAATATTCCATTAAATATGTGTACCATTGCTTCACTTTTCTCCGATTAGTGGCCATTTAGTTTGTTTCTAATTTTTTGCTACCACAAAAAATACTACTATAATCTTTTAGTATATAGGTGATTTTTTTCTGCCTTGTCTTCCTTAGGATACATGCCTAGAAGTGATTTGGATATCTGGTCAAAGGATATGGATGCATTAATCACTCCTTTCTTTTTTTTTTTAGCAAAATTCCAGAATTATTGGACTAATCAAACTCTATTAAGACTCTATTAGTGAACCTAGCTTCCTGTAGCCCCTCCAGCATTGACCATGTTCATCTTTTATTGTCTTTGCCAATTTTCTAGCTGTGCAGTGAAACCTCAGGTTGTTTTAATTTTAATTGTATGACTTCTACTGGGGGAAGAGTGTTGCTTTCTTGGAGTTGCCTCATCTATGACTTTAGAATCATAGGATCTTAGAATGGAAAGTTGCCTTAGAGACTACCCAATTTAGCCTTACGCACCACGCAGGGAACTCCCTCTAGAATATCCCCAAAGCCATCCTTCAGCCTCTGCTAGAATACTTCCAGCAACAGCAAAGTCGCCACCTCACAAAGTTACCCATTCCATTTCTGGAAAGTTTTAATCAACAAGAAGTTCTTTCTCGTGTTGGACTGAAATCTTCCTCCCCGTAACATCCAACTATTGTTCCTACTTTTCCCCATTAAAGCCAAAAAGAAGAATAATTCTAACCACTGTTCCTCATGACAGACCTTCAAATATTTCCCTAGGCTATATGTCCCTACTTCCTTCAGTCATTCCTCATTATATGGTTCCACCATCCTTGTTACCCTCCTCTCTTGTTATTATTCAGTCATTTCAGTCATATCTGATCTTCATGACCCCATTTGGGGTTTTCTTGGCAAAGATACTGGAATGGTCTGCCTTTTCCTTTTCTAGCTCATTATGCAGATGAGGAAACGGAGGCAAAAAGAGTTAAATGACTTGCCCAGGGTCACACAGCTAGTAAGTGTCTGAGGCCAGATCTGAACTCAAGAAGACAAGTCTTCTTGACTCCAGGCCTGGCCCTCTATCCATTGCATCACCTACCTGCCTCTATCCTCTTCTGGACAAACTCAAGCCTATCGATGCCCCTTAAAATAATGTGGTGCTTAGATCTGAAGACTGCATGCTAGATGTGGTCTGAGTATTACCTCTTTGGTTCAGGACATGTATTTCTTTTACAAAAAATTAAGGTGGCATGGAGAGACAGTAAGAATAGGAAGTCTGGAAGTCTGGAAGACCTGGGTTCAAGTCCAATTTCTGACAATTATTGTCTGTGACTCTGAAGAATATCACTAATCTTGTCCCAGCCAATTCTCCATGACTGCATTGCAGATGATCAATGGTAGAGGGAGTTTCCTCACCTGAAGCTCCCTACAGTGATGAAGTCACAGGTCCAGACCACCATCCCCTCCCCAGAAAGAAAGGATAGCATTAGCCCTTCTGGCAGCCACATCATACTGTTGACTCACTGGGTTTTTAGTAAGCTAAAACCTCTAAGTCTTTTTAATGAACTGTTATTAAACCACATTGCCCTCATCCTGGACTTGGCTAGCTGACTGTTCTAACTAAAGTACAGCCCTTTACATTTATTGTTATAATTTATCCTGTTAGATTTGGCCCATCTTCCCATCAAGAACTTTTGGAATCATGATTCTAGAATCTAACATATGATCTATCCCTCCCATATATGTATCATCTATAAATTCGATAAATATGCCTTTCTATGTCTTCCTTCAGGTCATTAATTAAGATGATGAACAGGACAGGGCCCAAGAGAGAGACATGAAGCATGACATTGGAGACCTTCCTCCACTACGCCATCAGTTCATTAATCATTTTCTAAAGCTCTAAGTCTGGAGTCAGGAAGACTTGAGTTCAAATATAGCCTGACATTTACTAGCTGTATGACCCTGGGCAAGTCACTTAACCTCTACCTGCCTCAATTTCTTCAGCTACAAAATGGGAATAACAGTAGCACTTACTTTTCAAGGTTGTTTAAAGGATCAAAGGAGATACTATTTGCAAAGTGCTTAGCACAGTGTCTATCACATAGTAGGTGCTTAATAAAAATGACTGTTTGCTTGTTTTATTTTTTGCCTAACCATTCAGTCTACATTTCTTCCTCTTTCCATAAAGCTACCACAGGGTTTGTCTACAGCAGATTAGGGTGGAAAGAGCCCTGGATTTGGAGACAAAAAACCTGGATTCAAGTTCCTATCTCTGACTTGTAATAGCTATGGCACTATGGGCAAATCTCTTAACTTCTCTGTACCTCAGTTTGCTTATCTGCGAAATAAGAATAATATACTGTCTATCTCAGAAGATTATTGTGAGTAAAGTACTTTGTAATTTGCAAAAATTTATAAAAATGTGAGCTAGTATTATTATTACATTTTGATGAAACCAAGATATACTTTGAGCATTCCCCTGATCTACCAATCTAATAACCCTGTCAAAAAAGGAAATGAGATTAGTTTGGTTATACTTATACTTGGTTATCCCATGATCACTCCTAATTATCACCACACCCCTATATAAGTGCCCCAAAATTAGTTTTTTAAATTATTTTTTATTTTTAATATATATTTATTTATATTTTATTATATTATATTTTATATATTGTTATACATTGTATATTATTATTAAATAAAATATTTTATTTTTAATTTATTCTAGAATTCCATTGGATGTCAATATTACCTTCACCAGTCCATAGCTTGTGAAATCTGCTTTTTTTTTCTTTCTGAAAATGAATATATTTGTCCAAGGCAAGGCTTCTGGTACTTCTCCTGTCTCCATAATTACTAAAAGATTATAAAGAATGGTTCTGTGATCTCATCTACAAGTCGTTGGTTTTGGGGTTTTTTTTCTTTATACCTTGGGGTATAAAACTTTTTGATTGGAGACTTAAATGCTCTCTATCTCCTGACTGGTCTTGAGCCTCAAATCCCACTTAACCATATTTGTTTGATCCTTCCAGTCTGTATATTTCCCCTCTTGACAGAGAAGATAGAAACATAAGAATAGAGTAGTTCTACTTTCTCTTTATTATTTATTTAATTTGTTTATTATTTATTAAATACTAGACACCCCAAGCTGCAAGTCTAGCCTGTCCATATTCTTCTTGCTCTGAATATCTTTTAAATCCTCATTTATTGTCCTCAGCATTTTTTTTTTGCCAGCCGCAACTCATCTGATTTAGCCTTCCTGCACTCTGCTTGTTGACCTGTGCCATGAATGAGTACCATCTTTGGTTAGGTGTCCTTTCTTCCATCTTTCATCCACATCCTTTTCATCCACGTCCCTCATGTCCATGTCTCTTCCTATGACTGTGTATTGCAGATCAACAGTGGGAAAGGGAGTTTCCTCACCTGAAGATCCCTACAGTCATGAAATCACGTCTGAATTCATCAAAGAGCTCACGGTCTGATCAAATAGGTTTCTTTAGTTGCCCCCTCCCTTTGGTCTCATGATCATTTTGCAATTGTATGGTCAGAATTTCTTTTTTGAGAGTTTCCCTAAGCCATCACCTTTTTTAGAGTTCCTAGCCATGAGAACATGCCTATCATTTCTTTGAGCTTTTTTGTGACCAGTTTTCCTAAAGGGCAACATACCTATTTGACTAAGTTCAGCATCCCCCTCCCTTCTGGGAATGGTCACTTTGTCTCCTGGGCTCTCAACCACATCTTCCTTTTGGGACAGAATTACAGTAGATCAAGAATAATAATTCCCTTCACAGTTTTCTGAGAAATGAAACTGATAGTGAGTAAAGTTGAGAATTCATTAGATGAAAATCTCTGCAGTAAATTTCTGCTATCCCAGATATATAGGAATCAATACCAAGACCATTCTTCAATAGATAAATGATCAAAGGATATGAACAGGCAGTTCTCAAAAGAAGAAATACAAGACACCAACAACCATATGATGAAATGCTCCAAATGACTAATAACAAAAGAAATGCAAATTAAAGCAATTTCAAGATTGTAGCTCCTGCCCATCAGATTGGGCAAGAATAAAAAAGGAAAAAGACAATTATTGGATGGGCTGTGAAAAGATAAATGCACTAATGCTCTCTTGGTGGAGCTGTGACTAGGGCCGGCCATTCTGGAAATCAGTTTAGAACTATGCTCCAAAAGTCCCTAAACTGTGTATGTCCTTTGGCCCAGCAATACCATTACTAGGTGTATACCTTAAAAGAGATAAAAAAAAAAAAAAAGAGGGAGGGGCAGCTAGGTGATGCAATGGATAGAGCACTGACACTGGAGTCAGGAAGACCTGAGTTCAAATCCAGCCTCAGACATTTGACACTTTCTGTGTGATCCTGGGCAAGTCACAACCCCAACTACTTCACAAAAAAAGAAGAGGGAAAGGATCCATGTGTACAAAACTATTTATAGTCACACTTTTAAAAGATTTTTATTGACACCTTTTATTTTTACATCATCTGTATTTCCCCTTGCATCCCTCTCTCTCCTCCTTCACAGAAAGCCACCCTGTATAACAAAAGAAAAAAAAATTTGGAGGCAATAGGGGTTAATTGTCCAGGATCACAGAGCTAGTAAGTATCTGAGTTCACATTTGAACACAGGTCCTTCTGACTCCAGGGCTGGTGCTCTATTCACTGCACCAACAAATATTTTTTTTAAGAGGAGGAAGAAGAAAAAATCAGCAAAATAAATTATTACACCAAAAAATCTGACATTAAATACAATCTTCTACACCAGTGGCCCTCTTGCCTCTGCAAAGGAGGGAGGGGATATATCCTCTCATACCTCTTCTTTGGGGCTTTGTTTTTTGTAATTTGGCAGTATTTGGGGGCTTTTTTTGGTTTTTTTGGTGAAACAATTGGAGTTAAATGACTTGCCCAGAGTCACACAGCTAGGGAGTGTTATGTATCTAAGGTCAAATTTGAACTCAGGTCCCCCTGACTCCAGTGCCAGTACTCTACCCATTGCATCACCTAGGTGCCCCTGACAGAATTTGTTTTTAATTATTTTGTGGTTGCTCTGTAGGAGAATCAGAAACAAATTGAGTACCTATCAAATGGAGAATGGCTGAATAAAATATGTTATATTAAGGGAATGGAACATAATTATGCCATAGGAAAATGATGAAAGGGATGTCTTCAGAGAAACCTGGTAGTTTCTTAGAAGTGAGCCAAATGAGAACAATTTATATGATGACTACCACATTGTAAAGGAAAACAACAGTGAAAGACTTAATAATTATGATCAACACAATGACCAATCTCTACTACACTAAACTAATGAAGAATCATCTATCTCATATCTTGGCATTTAAGCATATTAAATTTAACATTGTAGTTCCAACACTACCCTATTCATCTGTATCCCTTCAGTGTATTTTTAAAATGATTCACTGATGCTCTCTTTTTTCTTTTCTTCCCTTTCTTGGGTATCTCTATCACTAACCCCTTCCCTCACGCCTCATAATTCTCCTAACTCCCCCAACTCTCCCCTAAAATAAAAGCGCCCCTTTGAAACAAGTAACAATAAGTCGAGCAAAATAAATCTGGGTATTGCAATACATGATTATTAAGCACTTTTTTATTTTGTGTGCTAGCTTCTAAGGAAGAGGCAAGATTGAAAGAGGATAATCATGGAGCTTACAGTCTAGTAGAAGGATAATGGCCCAACTGAGATAACTATAATATACAATGTGACAAGATAAATACATTAGTGAGGTGCAAAAATCAAATGCTGTGTGAAATCCGAAGGGGATGGTTGTTGCCAACGGGGAGACCAGGGCAGCCTCATTTGAGTTGGGCTTCAGACAATGGGTAGGAATTTCACATGTGATAAAAACGGAAGGAATTCCAGCCACAAGGGACAACAAGAACAGAAGCACTGAGCCTCAGTGTGAGTCCCCAGAGCAACCAAAGGGGAATAAAGAATGTAGTGCCATCTTGGGCTGAGTGAAGAAGGATGTGGTATCTAGAACGTTGCCCTATCCAGACTCCCTCTAAAATACTATGTTTTGGGTACCACTTTTTTAATTTTTTTAGACAATTGGGGTTAAGTGACTTGCCCAGGGTCACATGGTTAGTAAGTGTCAAGTGTTTGGTCTGAGGCCACATTTGAACTAAGGTCCTCCTGACGTCAGGGCAGGTGCTCCATCTGCTGCGCCACTTAGCTGCTCCTTGGTACCACTTTTTAAGAAGGTCATTGACAAACTGGAGCATATCCAGAGGGAAATGATTAAGATGGTGAATGGACTAGAAACTATGCTACTGGAGGAAAAGTGAAGGAAATGGGGAAGTTTTTCCCAGAGAAGAGATGACTTAGGGGAGACATGTTAGCCATCTTCAAGTTCTGAAGAGTTGTCAGACAGAGGAGGGATTTGGCTTTTTCTGCTTGGCCACTAGCGGGGCAGTTAGGTGGTGTCACAGTGCACAGAGGGCTGGGCCTGGAATCAGGAAGACCTGAGTTCAAATCCAGCCTCAGACACTTACTAGCTGCATGACCCTGGGCAAGTTACTGAACCTTTGTCTGCCTCAGTTTCCTCAACTATAAAATGAGGAGAAAAATAGCACCCTACTTCTCAAGGTTGTCATGAGGATTGAATGAGATAATATTTGTGAAGCAGTTAGCATAGTTCTGGCACACAGTAGGTGCTTCATAAATGTTTATTTCCTTCCTTCCTTTCCTCCCTCCTTCCCCAGAGGGCAGAACTTGAACCAAAGGGAGGAAGTTACAGAGGGCCCAGTTTAGCTTCATTGTAAGGAAGCATGGAAAGATTTGCCTCTGGAAGGAGTGGCTTCCCCTTCCCTGAAGCTCTTGAAGCAAAAGCTGAACAGCCAATGGTCTAGGGAATTATAGAAGGGGTTCTCAGACTAGAGACCCCTCTGAAGTCCCTTCTACCTTAGAGATCACGTGATTTTCAGTGTAGGGTTTAGAGAAAGTCTTGTCTGCAGCATCAAGTGCAAGAGGGGAATAATATGAGAGGAGATGGGCCAGGAAGGTTGGTACTAGATCATGAACAACCAGGAACACCAGGCAACTAAATTTGAACTTTACCCCCTAGAACAGTGTTATTTTCACTTTGTAGTTACTTAATAAATGTTTATTGAATTAAATTGAGTTGAGTTGAATGAAGTTGAACGAGGCATATCCTTCCATCACCGTTCTACTCAATTTTCACAGAATTCTCACTTGGCTCTTTGTTTTGTAGGGGTGGATTATTGCTTGTTGAGTGATCATGGTTGTGAACATTCCTGCATAAATACTGACAAATCCTTCACTTGTCAGTGCTCTGAGGGGTATGTACTCAGGAGTGATAGAAGAACCTGCAAAAGTAAGTTTTCAGTAGTTCCTCTTTTAAAAAAAAATTAGGCTTTCTGTGCGCATACTACATGCATGTACATTTTAATGTATATGTAGTAAGACTCTGGACTCAACTCTTCAACCTGCATGTGCACGAACAAATCAGGTTCCCAGAGTTCGCTGCTCCCCCTCGGAGTCCTAGAGGTAATAGGTATGAGGGATGGAGGAGTAGACCATATATAGACTCTAGGAGTCTATCCACTGGCAAGTTGGGTCCTCAGGGGGTGACTACATGACCTCTTCAAGATTCTAGGGTTAATTCTGAAGGGTTGGGGTGATTATTCTAATGCTATTGCCTTGAGCTCCCATTCCAATACATTTCTCCTAATATCAGTTGATAGTTACAGCTAGTTTCTCCCCTATATCATTGATTAAACCAGTGATTAGTGCCCCCATTATTAATTTAACCGGTTATAATATGAATTAGCTGTTACAAGAGGTTATTTCCTAAGAAGGTATCTGGAACAAAAATACAAAAACATTTTCCCCCAACATTATCCTCTCCCCTTTTCCACCTTTGTCCTTTGAGAGAGTGAACTCAGCCTTCAAGTGGTTGCTACAAAGCATTTGTCCCACCAGGTTCATGTCCAAGTGCAGCATAGCCATAGATGAGTTACTCCATTTCTGTAGAACACGGTGTCTCAGATACCAGGTTGAACCACCATCAGACTAGGGATCAAGCAGATCGCCCTTTAAGGATGGCCTGATTCACTGGACTCCACTGCTGGCAAAAGAATCTCTGATTCTTTGACATTTCAAAGTTCATAAAGCCTCATGCCAAGAGGAAAGAACGCCCTACCCCCAGTATAGGCTTGCCTGGGAGGCCATGGGGCGAGCACAGTAGGAGGAGGGGCACCCTCCCCCTGGCCCTCCTGAACCCGAAGGGTCATTCTGACATCTCATAGCTAGCAGGAAAGAAAGGGCAGATTTTTCCACTGGCGCCTTCTGTATGATCTCCCAGTTCTGAGTCATCAGCCTACCAAATGGTCTATTCTTCACTACGAAGTTAAGCACATAAGAAATAGCCTCCAAATACATGCTCTGATCTGTCCATGCGGCGTCATCACACGTATCCGCAATCAAGCTCACCGAACATTCACATGGATTCTCTGCACATGCTCCCAAGACTGGCCCTCATTGGCCAGCCTTCTGTTTTCTATATGAATTTGTATATAGCCAACCCTCAGAGATCTGTGTGCCCTGAGGAACATCTCTTCAGTTTGCCAACCAGCTGGTCCCTGGGCCGCCTTCCTTCCCACACTCTCTAGGCAAGATTTTCCCATTTCAGGCTTTTCTCCTCTTCTTTCTGCTGTCTCACAAAGCCCTTTTTATTCACTTTCTCTGTCCTCACAATGACCCTGCCTAATTCAGCCATCAGCCAACATTGGGCATGAAGAACTGGGAAAGGGAGAGAAAGCACGGGGCTGGGGAGGTGGGGATTTCCTCAAAATTCATCTAGTTCTGCTCTATGCTGACATTCCTGAAAAGACTCTAAACAGTCTGGCAAAAGATAAGAAGGTTATGAGTGATGTCTACTGAGTGTCATGGGCCCTCAAGCCCTCAGCTTCCCAGGAATCAGCTCCTTTCTCTGAACTGATCCAAAGAACCTTGTCTCTTTGGCTTAGGGCTTCCTTCTTTAATATGCTCTGCGGAGAAATTACTATATCTTACCCCATCCAAATGAGTCAGCAAAAGCCCAATAATCAATCTGTGACTGGAGGTCAGAACCTCCCAAATATTCCTTTTGCTCTAAATAGCTGGGTTCTAATACCTATCTACTTTTTCCCTCTCTGAAAGTTCTTTAAAATTTCCATCAGTTCCAGAGTTCACATGGACCTTCCTAAAATAATGACAAGCTAACTCCTTCTCACCTTGTGCTCTCATGTCTAGGGATACACTCGTCTGTGCAAATGCTGCTTGTATCATGACGCTTTCTATCTTCCTCATTTTCCCATGCAGAGTACATTTGTTACTGGGGATAGGATGATCTCATCGGTGAAAATCAACCAGGGGAATTAAAATTGAAATTTGATATGTGCATATAGAGGTAGTATATGGCTGAGAACCTGTGAAGTAATAAGATAGGACATAGCTATACTGGCAGAGATGTTCTCTGCCCCCTTGCCCTACTGTATATATGCAGCCAGGCTATTCCCACAAAAAAGGGATTTTCTGTCTTCCCTCAGGATGATTCAGTGTGGCCATTCTATCCAATAATAATACGCTGGGGTTTCAGTTCGGCCACAGTTAACTGGAGATTGGGGTATGTGTTTCCCAGCCTGTGCCAGATGACAGACATGACTTCACCTCCACTTTCACAAAGCCTGCTGGGTTGGGGGAAGTGAGCCAGCTCCAGTTAAGCAGATAGGTGTGCCCTTGACCCTTCCCAAAGGCAGAATACGGACTTGGCCTTGCAGGGATGTGGCCTGAAGGATGTCAACCAAGGAAACTGTCTTTCATCTAACCAGGCAGATATACCATTGAAGAATGGAAAGCTGAACTGATTCACTTCATTTCAATTTAGCAAAGATGTATTAAACACCTACTATGTGTAAAGGATTGTGCTAGATAGCCAAAGGTACAAAGATTGAAAAAATGAAACCATCTCAGGCCTCAAGGATGCTACATTCTACTGGGGGCTGGGGAAGGAGGGTTAGAAAGATAAATATAATGGGTGATGAGGGCAAAGGAGATCTAGGAGTTAACAGTTCTGCTTTAACGATCAGGAAAGACCTCAAAGAGAAGCCATGGGAACCCTGGCCAGGAGCCTGAAAGCAATAGAAAAATTATTTCCTTCTCTACCTATGCTGGGGTAGAGGCTGGATTCAATTTAAAGATGGTGTAGTGGAAAAAATGAGAAGCAATGGTGAATAATGGGTAAAGGGCCGTCCCCAGAGTCAGAAAGACTTGGGTTTAAATCCCATGCATGATCCAAACTAGCCATGTGATCTGGGCATGCCTCTTCTTGATGCCCTTGGCCACCCTTTAAGACTATAAGTTGTGGACAAGTTGTCTGTTTACATAGTGGATGGAGTTTCCACACTAGAAGTTGTCTTCATGGATGAAACCAGAAGTCTGCCTCCAAAAGCCACAAAAAGAACAGTGGACCCAAAGTCACAAGACCTGGATTTGAGACCCCGGGCTGTCATGTATTCCCCTCAACATTCACTTCAGTATAATTCACTTCAATATTCAGACATCTCTGGGCCTCAGTTTCCCAATATGCCAAATGAAAAACTTGGACTGGTGGATCTATAAGGTCCCTTCTGGGTCCAGCTTTCTATTATTTCGCACCTCACCTTCCCCTATTTACCTCTGTGGATTCCCAATGTGCAGAGTAGCAGCTCTGCCCATCTGCCCAACATTGACTTGTTTTATCTTCAGGGTCTTCATTTCCTGCTGCTGGTTGGATGCAGAGATGACCCTGAGGCATGAGAGAGGAGACAGTTCTTCTCTCAGACTTGCACTATTTGGTACAAAAAAGATCCTCCCCTTTTCTGGGCACTGGGATTCTCCCTATGGCAAGGACTTAACAGAAGCAATAAGTGACCCAACCTCAAGGAAAATGCAATAAGTCTGAAATCATTATCAGTAAACCTTTGTGGAATGTGACCCTAGGCTTAGAGCTGGAAGGGACCTGAGAGGTCATTGAAGATGAGGAAAGTGAAGCACATCGAAGTTAAATAGCCATAGTATCAGAGGCAGGATTCGCACCCAAGTTTTCCTGACTCTAAGTCCAATGGGGTTAAGCATAGTAAAGGATGGTTACAAAGAGCCTCCTTTCCCTCAAAGGGCTTGCAATCCAGTTTATGTCTGTAAAAATATGAGTAACAGTGCACCCACTCCCGGACAAAAATTTAGTCTAATCCCTCATTTCACAGACAAAAAATAATGAGGGTCAAAGGATGACTTACCCAAAGAAGCCTCTAGACCTTTACACCAGGCCCTTTATTTAATATGAGAGGACTCTAGATACTTTTGCCTCCAAAATGATGTTTCATATAGAGTTAGCAAGAGATGACTTCTGATTTTTTAATTGTAAAAAAAAATACAATCATGTAATTACACACACACACACACACACACACACACACACACACACACACACACACCCCTTCCCCCCATCTTCTCCCAGCCTGTGTCTTCTTGGCACAATGTGCACTGTGGCTTTTTTTCTCTGAAGAGCAGGATTGGTTTTCCTGCTCTCCAACGTGGAACCTTAGACATCACCTTGCATTCTGTCATCACTAGAAAGGGACTAATATTCTAAAGTACACATAGAACAATTATTGCCCTGCCTCAGACTCTCTGAGTCACCAGACCCTGATCCAGACATTAGGAACATTTTCTGGTTTGGGATAATAGACCAGGGGAAAGTTTCCTACCCAGAAATTTTTTCCAAATAATTAAACTCCTAATCAGTTGTATTCCAGATTGCTTAATTAAATTGTTTAAAAAAAAACACTATTTAACTAGACTTGGAAGAAATCATCCTTTTAGAAAGGAAATGTTTTCTTCCTGGGAGATTTCATTCTTCCTCTTGGGAATTCCCAGGAGAAACTTAAGAAGTTCAAGGTGGATTCTTTTGCACTTTTCTTCTGGATTTGAACTCTGCACCCTCCTTAACCTCTTGGCTAATACTCAACTATTGGCCATCTCTCTGCACTCCTTTTCTGAGATCCTTACCAGATTGTCAGAGAAGGCTCTGGAGAGTAATAGAGAACAGTAAAATGAGCAGCGGAAACTACATTTTCTGGACACAAATGTATCTAGAGATGTAATTTCTTTTGTTAAATAGGTCTTTACTGATTTTTATTGTTTATTTTTTAATATCATCATATTTCCCCCAGGATTCCTCTCCTTCCCAAAGAGTCATTCTATATTATATATATATATATATATATATATTATATATATATATATATATACACACACACATAAAAAAATGGTGGGGTTTTTAAAAATTAATATAATAGGAAATAAATTGAAAAAGGTCTGAAAACATGTGCCTTGTATAAAACTTGTGGCCCTTCTGTCTCTGCAAAGGAATGGAAGGGTTTTCTCATATCTCTTTGGAGCCATGCTTGTTTTTTTTGCAATTTCACAACAATTCACTTTTGACTTTTTTTTTATAGCCATTCTTTCCATTTACATGTTGTTGTCATTGTATATATTATTTTCTTGGCTCTTCACTCCACATCAATTCATGTTTCTCTGTATTCATCATATCCATTGTTTTATCCACTACATTCATGTACCACAATTTGTTTAGTCATTCCCCAATCAATGGGCGTTTACTTTGTTTCCAATACTTTGTTATGACAAAAAGTGCTGCTATAAAATATTTTGGTGTATATGGGGACTTTTTTTTTATCAATTGCCTCCTTGGGATATAAGCCTAGTAATGAAATCTCTAAACCAAAGGATATGGACATTTTACTTTATTTGCATAATTCCAAATTGTTTTCCAAAATGGTTGTACCCTTTCATAGTTTCACCAACAATGCACTAGTATGCCTATCTTCCCACAACCCCTCCAACATTGACTATTCCCATTGTTTGTCATCTCTGCCAATTTGAAGAGTATGAAGCAAAAGCTCAGGGTTGTTTTAATTCATACGTTTCTTATTATTAGTGATTTGTAACATTCTTTCATGTGGTTGTTAATAGTTTGCAATTCTTTTGGCAACTGTTTTTGATGTATATACTGTATCTACATATATGTTAATTTTTATATATATATGTATATATATAAAATCAGAGAGATTCAATAGTAAGATATTTTCTCAATTGACTACTTCCTTTCTTATGTTAGGTATTTTGATTTTGTTTGTGCAGAAGCTTTTCAGTTTCATGTAATCAGTTACCTTTTTTACCTTTTATAACTGTCTGCTTAAGAATATATCTTCTACCCATAGCTGTGAGAGGCATACATGATCTGCTTCTCTTCTAATTTTTTAAAAATATGATCTTTAATATTAAAGTCGTCTCCATTTAGAATGAATTGTGGGATATGGTATAAGGTGTTGGTCTAAGCCTATTTTCTGCCAGACTGTTTTTCAGTTTTCCCAGCAAGTTGTATCAAATAGGGAATTCTTTCCCAAGTAATTGATGATTTCTGGTTTATCAAAAACTGGGTTATTGAGTTTCATTGTTTCTGATTCCCCCTCATTCATCTCTTCCGTTGATCTACCTCTCATTTTTTAACCTTTTAAAAAAAAAACAGGCGGTTTTGATGACTGCTGCTTTATAATACAAGATGTCCCCAAAGTCTTAGTGCATTGTTAAGCTCAGATAATTCAGAAGTACAAATACTACAAACTTCCAAAAACATTTGAAAAATAATCACTTGAAGGCTTAAAATGTTGATATGTTTCTTGTTAAAATTCAACATAACCACCATCTTGTGCTATGCATTGGTCTATTCAATTACGAACTTCGTAAAAACTTTCATTAATTGTGATTCAGTGACCAGAAGGACTGCATTTATAATCAGTCCTAGCTTTCAGATCATATACAACATGGGGCAGCTAGGTGGCGCAGTGGATAGAGCTCCAGCCTTGAAGTCAGGAGGACCTGAGTTCAAATCCAGTCTCAGACACACAATGTACAAGCTGTGTGACCTGGGGCAAGTCACTTAACCCCAACTGTCTAGCAAAAAAAAAAAAAGAAAAGAAAAAAAAAGGTCCATATACAACAGTTCTGATGTGATTTCACAAGAAAAAAAAAAGCCCAATAGAGATAGATCAGGTGACTGAGGTGCACAAGCAACAGAACCTCCTCTATTGTCCACTGATCTAAGAAAGTGGCATATGGAAACTGTGGTATACATAATGCATAATGATGCACTGCCTCACCTTGTTAAAATTTAAATTTATTAATTAAAAGTATTGATTAAATAATAAATTATTAAAATTAAATTATTATTCAAATTCATAAAATGAAATGGGTATAAAATAAATCTATATAATTAAACTTTCAAATGATTTTTGGTAAGTTTGTAGGCTTCATGCTTCCGAAGTTATTAAAGCCTAAAACTGCACTCAGACTTTTAGGACACTTTGTATACTGTGAGATCTGAAAGTACAGAGATGTAATTTGAACAGGGGAAATCTCCCACCATAGTTAATCCTGGTTCTGTCAGTAACTAGCTGTATGACTTTGGATAAGTCATTTAACGACTTTGGATTTAATTTTTCATATGTAAAATGAGGAGTTGTAATCAACTTATCACTAGATTTCTATTCTCCCCAAGGCCTAGGCCCCTAAATCAGAGACAATTAGATCCTTCTATGGTGGAGCAAAATGCGAATTGGTCCAACTATTCTGGATATCAATTTTGAATTGTATGAGAAAAGTTATTGACCCTTCATACTCTGTAACCCAACAGTCTCTTACTACTAGGGGTGTACGTGTGTGTGTGTGTGTGTGTGTGTGTGTGTGTGTGTGTGTGTGCGCAAAATCAAGGAGGTCAAACACAATAAAAAGGTCCAACATATAACAAAATATTCATATAAGCATTTTCTATTTAGAAAAGGACTACTTAGGGGCAGCTAGGTGGTGCAATAGATAGAAATCAAGAGGACCTGAGTTCAAATCCAGCCTCAGACCAAACACTTGACACTTACTAGCTGTGTGACCCTGGGCAAGTCACTTAACCCCAATTGCCTAAAAAAAAAAAGAAAGAAAAGAAAAGAACTATTTAGAAAAGAAAAGAAACAAAGTGGATGCCCAAAGTGGATGTTGATCCACTGCAATTAGATAATAATCAAACAAGATGTGGTATATGAATGTAATGGAATTTTATCATATGGTAACAAATGACATTTTTGTCATAGGAAGAATTGTATGACCTAGTGCAGAATTCAATGAGCAGAATCAAAAGAACAAAATAGACAATCAACAGGCATTTATTAAATGGATTAAATAATTTAATAAATGATAATGTATTAAATTATATTCTGGGTACTGTGCTAGGCACTGCGAATACCAAAGACGGGCAGTGAAAAGACTCCAGATAGGACCTGGAGCATAGTGTGTGAGAAGCAGCCAGATAACTGGCTTGGCTGGACTGTGAGCTGACAGGAAAATGACAACTGGGGCAGAATTTTGTATACATTGTCAGAGGGGATCATTTTATTGGGCATTTTTGCTTAATTGTTTTTATTTGTTAAAAAGGGGGTTCCATTTGGAGGGGGTGAAAATGAGAAACTTCTTCCAAAAATGGTTGATATAGAAACAAAAGGTATCATTAAAATTTATTTTCAAAGGAAGGGAAGGAAGAGAGGAAAGAATGGAAGGAAGAATGGTGGGAAGGAAGAAGGAAGAAAAGAAGGAAGGGAGGAAGGGAGGGGGAGAGGGAGGAAAAGGAGAAAAAATGAATAGAAATAAGAAAGGAAAAGGAAAGGAAAGAAAAGAAGGAGAGGAGTTAGGGAGGAAGGAAAGGAGTTACCAACAAACAAACCAATGAACTTATTATTTGGAAATGATTTAGGTTCTTAGGAACCCAAATTAAGGCAGACCCAGTTCTATTAGAGCCAGTGACAAGGAAATTGACTAATTCATGAACAAGGAATGGTAAGGGATAAGAAATTTCAGCAATTTTAAAAGGTAAAAACCATACCACAATGCTCTACTGACTTGTTAAAAGAAAAACAAACTTGCTGCTAATTTGAAAGCCCAAGAGAACCCAGAAACCGGATTCTTAGCAAGAGAGACTGGCTGAAGTCCCGGCTGAAGACTCTATGAAGCTCTCATTTAGAGCTGGCTTTTACTTCTGTTGTGCCAAGACATTTGAGCAGCACAGTTGGCCTGCAACAGACTGTGGTGGACTTGAGCCCTGCTTATGTAACAGGGGGAAAAAAGAGAGAGAGAAGAACAGTTGGAAGCTCCCCATTGAAGACTGGAAAATCTTCAGGAAAGCTCAGTCTGTCAACACTAAAGTCTAAAAGCATCAGGGAAGAAAATGATTAGTTTCAGTGAAGATTCAAGGTGAAAGGCTGGAGCCAAGGTAGAGCTCAAGATCATCCCTTCCTGATCACTTTCAGATCCAATCTCAAGGAACACATAAGAAGAAGTATTGATGCACTAAGACTTTGGGGACATCCTGTATTATAAAGCAGCAGTCATCAAAACCATCTATTTTTTTTTAAAAAAGGTTAAAAAAAGAGAGGTAAATCAATGGAAGAGATGAATGAGAGAGAATCAGAAACAATGAAACTCAATAACCCAGTTTTTGTCAGTTTAAGCACACCTTCCACAGGACACATGACAACTTTTCCATGGTTTGGTAGATTATCTTCAAGAGCTGCTGTGGCCAAAGAAAGTCTTTGTGTGGGCAGCGAGGTGGCACAGTGGATAGAGCACTGGTCCTCGAGTCAGAAAGAACTGAGTTCAAATCCAGCCTCAGACACTTATAAGCTATGAGAACCTGGGCAAGGAACTTAACCGTGTTTGCCTCCAAAAAAAGAAAATCATCTATAAAATGAGGATAGCACCTGTAGTATATCTCCCACAGTGTTACAAGGGAAGGAACGTATGTGGCATGGGCAGCTAGATGGGGCAGTGGATAGAGTGACAGACCTGAAATTAGGAAGACCTGAGTTTAAATCCAGCCGCAGACACTTCTTAGCTGTGCGACCCTGGGCAAGTCACTTAACCCTGTTTGCCCCAGTTTCCTCATCTGTAAAATGAACTGGAGAACGAAATGGCAAGCTGCTTTAGTATTTCTGCTAAGAAAACCCCAAATAGGGTCATGAATAGTCAGATGTGATTGGAACAAACAACTGAATGACAAAAAATGTATGTCGCCTGCTTAGTAAACTTCAACAAACCATGTAAATATCAACTATTGTTCTAGGTGCATTGTTAAAGGGGGATAAATTGCTGAAATCTTTTCCTCTCTGTTTGCATCCTTCTCAATGGAACCTCAGGACTGGACTCCTGCGCTCTGGGAGACCATGATTGTGAACACACGTGTATAAGCCTTGAGGACTCCTACAAGTGCCGCTGCTATGAAGGTTACGTTCTCCGAGAAGATGGGAAAACCTGCAGAAGTACGTTCATGGGGTTTCTAGCTCAAGTGCTGGTATAGGAACTACTATATAAAAACAGAAATCCCGAATTCCATGTCAGTAGATTACTCAAGCAAGGCAGTCATTGAGATAAAATTGGAGCTCTGTGGCACGAGACAGTTAGTCACAATCCAGCCCTTGTTGAAATGCCTTCCTTGGGTCTTTATTGTAGCACCTCAGTTTGTCTCATTAGTAACTAAATTCCCTTAGAAAGGCAGTATGGTGTAGTGGGGAAAGCACTAGGTGTGATATTTGACAACCAAAGGTCAAGCCCTAGACCAAAAAATTATTTCATCTGCTTGAGTCTCAGTTTTCCCATCTGTAAAATGGGGCTAATGCTTATTCTGTTTTTTTTCCTCCAGGGTTGTTTTGAGGAAAGGGCTTAGTTAATTGCACCTATTAAATAGAGCTATCCTTATTCATGAGTAGCTAGGTGGCACAGTGGATAGAGTTTGGGGCTTGGAGTCAGGAAGACTTATCTTGAGTTCAAATGTAGCCTCAGACACTTACTAGCTTGTATGACTCTGGACAAGTCACTTAACCCTGTTTGCCTCAGTTTCCTCATCTGTAAAATGAACTGGAGAAGGAAATGGCAAACCACTCCATTATCTTTGCCAAGAAAACCCCAAATGGGGTCACAAAGAGTCAGACACGACCGAACAACAAAAATCATTACTATGAATGCAGATGAGAGATAAGAAATTTGCCATGAACCCTATCTATGCTATGGCTTCAAAAATCATGTCACTTCTTCATTTTCAAAAATGTCAATGGAATTTCATCCCAAAAAGCTGCTACTAGAGGAAGACATCCAAAGTTGCCTTAATGTTCAAAAACATATTTTGGTGGGAAATAGAGCATAACACTTGTCTAATTCACGTGCATTGTTAACAGGGGAATAATTGCTAATGCGTATAATATTTTTCCCATCTGTGCCCTTGGAACCACATGGAAACTCAGTATTGGACCCGTGTGCTCTGGGAAACCATGGCTGTGAGCATTCCTGTGTGAACAGAGGAGAATCTTACATGTGCCTCTGTTTTGAAGGTTATACACTTCTGGAGGATGGGAAAACCTGCAAAAGTAAGTTTACATCCAATTCAGCAAATGTGTATTAAGTACCTATTGTGTGCATGGCACTGTGCTAGGGATAGGGACTGGACTTGTCAACAGGATAGGGAACTCTCAGATGAGGAAAATCCCTCCATCAATGCAAGTTAGCTCCTTCTCTACAAATTACAGGAGTGTGAGAGAGTTGCCCAAAGCACTGAGACAATATGGGTCAGAGGTTAGACTTGAACCCCAGGTCTTCCAGGCTTTGAGGTCAGCTCTCTAGGCACTATACCATTTTCCCCCTTATAGTGTGGGAGATACAAAGGCAGAAACAATAAAGCCCTGCCCTTAAGAAGATACCCTTTAGACTCATGATGAAAAATGCTATCTACTTCCAGAGAAAGAATTGATGGGAGTCTGAATGCAGATCAAAGCATTCTACTTTCACTTTCTTTTTTTGGTGTTTTTCCCCCTTTGGGTCTGTATCTTCTTTCACAATATGACAAATATAGAAATATGTTTTGCATGACTGAACATATATAACCTGTATCAAATTGCCTGCCATCTCAGAGAGCAGGAAGGGAGAAAATTTGGAACTCAAATTTTGTTTTAACTGAATGTTAAAAATTGTCTTTACACATAACTGGGGGAAAATAAAATATTATTTTGAGATATGAGATAAAGATACCCTTTACTGAGATATGGGGGTGAGGGACAATATGACAAGTACACTAATCAGCTTGAGTGGTAGGAACAAAGAAGAGGTGCAGACAAAATAGGAGAATGGGGAGAGGGAGTGATCACTATCACCAGAATGGCTAAGAGGAGGCTTCCTGGAGGAAGGAGCAGCTGAGTGGAAGCTTGAAGGAGGAGAAGTATTCCAGCAGGCAGAGAGGAGGGAAGAAAGGGGGCATTCCAGACATGGGGGACAGACAGCCTGAGCCTGCACAGAGGCAAGAGATGACAGGACAGGCTCTTTTTGTGGACTTGTTTTTCCAGTTGTGTCCGACTCCTCCTGACCCCTTCTGGGGTCTTCTTGGCAAAGATACTGGAGCAGTTTGCCATTTTCCTCTCCAGTGGATTAAGGCATTATTGACATGCTTTGCCCCGAGGTCACAAAGAGTTGGACATGACTGAACAGTGACTACATAACAATAATAATCACTATGATTTATGGAGAATGTTATAAGTATCATCTCCTTTGAGTCCCACAAGAACCCTGGAGGTAGGTACTAATATTATCCTCATTTTGCAGATGAGGAAACTAAGGCAGAGAAAGGTGAGGGTCACCCGGCTAGTAGCTGAGGCAGAATTTGAACTCGGGCCTTCCTCCCTCCATGCCTAGCAGTCTTCTCACTGCTCCACCTAGCTATACTGAGAATAGATGGAAGGTAGTCTCAGGGGAGGAAGGCATCAGCAATTGGAAAGAAAACAGGAGAGGAGGTGGCATGTGAGGTAAGCCTTAAAGGAAGACATGGAAGATGACACTGATGATGATACCAGAACTCAGTATCACTTTATCATTCAGGCTCTACTTTTACTGGAGATCTGGAACCTTCAAAAAGGTTTAATAATAACATAGACTGAACTTTATAATTGACAAAGTTCTTTTCTCACAACCCTGTGAGGCAGGTGGTGTGGGTATATTATCTCCATTTTACAGATGAGGAAACTGAGGCTCACATAGATTGGGTAACTTATTATCATCACACACACACACACACACACACACACACACACATATATATACACACACACACATACACACACACGTATGTATGTATGTAGCAGGTGGAAGAGCCAGAAGCCCAGTCAGAGCCCTTCCTGCTGCACCCCAAAGGACATTCAGCCTGAGCTAGTGTGTCTAAGAAAACACTTCTGTAATCCCTCATTAGAGGGCTATTAAGGTCTTGTTGTGCTGCCTTGGCAAAATTATGTTAACTCTCTCCATAATCCTCAGGGGTGGATGTCTGCAAATCCACCAACCACGGCTGTGAACACACTTGTGTTAATGATGGCAATTCCTACATCTGCAAATGCTCAGAGGGATTTGTTCTGGCAGAAGATGGGAAACGGTGCAGAAGTAAGTGATGGGAGCTTGGCCCCACCTCGTTGGAGGGGCTGACAGCAGAAGTGATGAGAGCTTGGCTTCACACGTTGGTAGGGCTGAAAGCAGTTGCTTTCTTGAGCTTTATTAGAATGAATGAATACCTAACTCTTCTCCCCATCCCCTACCCTCCACCACAATGAATAAACATAAAAGTGAAGTTCTGAAAACTTGTCTGAATTAAAAGCCAGACCCATTTACTTAGGGATCATTGTTGAAAAAAACTTCTAAGGAAAATAAGTAAGAACCCCTTTGAAAGCCAGGAACCAGTGAGTGTAACTGTCATTCTTTCCTGGGCCTGAGAACAAACATCCTCATTGCCAAGGAAAATGGGTCTCTGTTCAATTCTTTCCCTGAAGTCTCTTCACTTTTTATGCAAGGATGATGGAAGCTAGACCTGGGCTGGAGCCTTCTCCTTTCTGGAACCGGAGAAATGCCTCTCTCTGTGAACTTTTGCACATGAAGAATGCAAATTTTGTGTGTGTGTGTGTGTGTGTGTATGTGTGTTTGAGAAAAAAGTATGGTAAAGAAAGAAGAACAGAATTGCTGAAAGAAAATCAAATGTCTCGCTCCTTGCTTTCTCCCTTTTTTGCAGAGGGGAGATTATGGCTATAGAATGCTGCAGATATTTTACAACTTGGCTGACGGGTTGCTGAACTCGTTTATTTTTCTTTCTTTTTATTCTCTATTGGTCATAAAAGATGAGGCTCTGGGTGAAGAAGAGGGAGGGATACAGTTGGAAAAGATATCAATGAAACTTTATTAAAGAGGAGAAGAGGTGACAATCACCATCATCATCATCATCATTGTACCATACTCATGTTGAATGACAGCTGGATGAATGTGGCTATTTCAGACATCTACAGCGAACTTAAATAAAACTACCATGGCCTTTTTATCTTCTGACGGATAAAGTACAGATGGGTTATGGGGAATCATCTCATATATGCTGCTGTGAATGAAAACACCTATTATAGTGGGAGAAAGGAAAGGGAAGGAGGAAAAGGGCTCACTGGTTGTTAACTGTGGAGAACTTGCTTCTCTTTCTAACCCAGCTTGGCCCACACCAGGCATGGTGTATGTGTTGTGTGTCACCATCAAAGAAAGTATTGCTAATTAAAGATGGTGACCCCACTATATGTAGAGATGTAAAGGCCCCTCATAGATACCTAGTCACATAATAATAAATAAAAATAACTCATATTTATATAAAACTTGATGTTTCCCCTAAAACAGATTTGTGAGGTTGAGAGTAAAAATATTATTATCTAAATTATTACAGATGAGGAAACTAAAATGACTTGTTCAGAACTAGTAAAAGTATAGAGCCAGGATTCAAACCTAGGTCTCCTAACTCCAAACCCAGTGTTCTTTTTATTTCAGCATAACACTCTGCTATCAAATGAAGATGCACTTGATTTATGAAATGGGCCATTCCACAGGATTTAGCTGTGTTTGAAATTAGCTCATGAAGGGCGGCAGTGAGTTATAGGGGGGAGCTGGGTTCCAATCCAGCCTCTGCCCGTCCCTACCTGTGCGACATTGGGCAATTTACTTAACTTCTCTGAGTCCCAATTTTCTCCTTGGTAAAGTTAGGGACTTGGACTAGATGAATTCTGAAATCACATCTGGCTTTAAATCTATGATTCTACAAATTCAGTTGGTTGTCATTTCTGTAACGCCCCCTAAATCACAAGAAGCCTGTGCATACCCACATAACTAAGCATTTGTGTCAGTCTCTTACATTAATTTTAGGAAATGAAACTCATTATATTGAGTAGCTAGGTGCCAGGCCAGAGAATACAAATACAAAAAAAACCCAATAACCTTCAGTCTCTGCCCTCAAGGAGCTTATTTATATTCAATCAGGAGAAATAACATGTACACATGTCAGTAGATACAAAATATCAAAGTAAATATAAATATCAGGAGGAGGTAGAAGGCACTAGGCCTTGGGGCTTCATGAAAGGCTTCATGTAGGAGTTAGAACTTCAGCTGAGCTTTGAAGGAGGGCAGAGCATCCATATTTGAGGCTGGGCAATGTCCTGGGTGAAGGAAGATAGTCAGAACTTGGAATTAATTCCCAATTTGCTTTGCCTCCTCTTACTAGGTAATCTTGTCCATGTGTATTTCTAGAGACTGATGAAGTTGTTTTTTTTAATCATCCCCTTTTTCTATCCTACAGAATGCACCGAAGGCCCCATTGACCTGGTATTTGTGATTGACGGATCCAAAAGTCTCGGAGAGGAAAACTTTGAGATCGTGAAGCATTTTGTCACAGGCATCTTAGATTCCCTTGAGATCTCCCCCAAAGCAGCTCGAGTGGGGCTGCTGCAGTATTCAACCCAGGTCCGCACAGAATTCACCCTGAGGGACTTCCACACTGCCAGAGACATGAAAAAGGCTGTGGCCCACATGAAATACATGGGCAAAGGCTCCATGACTGGCTTGGCCCTGAAGCAGATGTTTGAGAGAAGTTTTACAGAAGGAGAAGGAGCCCGGCCACCTTCAGCAAGAGTGCCCAGAGTAGCCATTGTGTTCACGGATGGACGGGCCCAAGACGATGTCTCTGAATGGGCGAACAGAGCCCAGCAGAATGGTAATCTTGGATTATTAGATTATGTGTTATTTATTTTCGCCCAGGGGTATTAACATCAGTAATTCCCCCAACCTTTTAATGACGACTGCCAATAATTTCTATGGCACTGTGAAGGTCTCTATGGAGCTCCTCCCCCATGAACAACGCTGTAAGGTAGGTAGTTGGGGCATTGTTACCTCTTTTTAACAGATGAACCCAGTTATACAACTAGAGAGTGAAGTTTCATTCATTCATTCAACAAATGATTTGATGCTGACTGGGTATAGGATGCAGTGCTAGACACTAGAGAAGACAGAAAGTTTAAATAAGAAACAGCCCCTGCCCTCGTGGAGCTTATAGTCTAGTAAGGTTGATAAACCAATACAGAAAGCTATACAGCACTTATGATATAATCTGTATCAGGTAGTTACAAAATAAAGTGCTATGGTAGGCCTGAGGTCTTCTGGCCCCCAAGTCCATCCTATACCAAGCTACCTCTCAGGAACCAAACACAGGGGCCATTACACTAGACAGTGTAATGGAAGTCTTCTACAGCCACCATAAAACCTTACTATACTGCCCCCTAGTGGCTTCAGAGAGTTTATTCAACAACAAGAGTGCCTCCAAATGCTCATTCTTGCAAGAGACCCTTCCAGGAGGCCAGTGATAATGTCAGTACATGCAATGATGATTCATTTCAACAATGCAATTAAACAAACATTTATTAAGCACCTGCTGTGTGCCAGACCCAGTGCAAGGTGCTGGGAATACAAAGACAAAAACAAAAACAAAATAAGGCTCTTTTCTCAATGAGATTTTTCATTCTACTGGATGTGAATAATCATGTACTAATATTTACCAGCTGCAGTGTGTTCTCCATGGCAGAGAAAAAGCCTTTATTGCCTGAATAAAATGTCTGGCCAGGGATATAAATTCTAACCTCCTCTAATAGTTTTCATTATTGTGTACATCAAAGTCTCTTCTGGAAAGCAGTGCGTATATCAGTCAGAAGACCAAATCACTTAATTTCTCTGGGCCTCAGTTTCCTCATTTATAAAATGGAGAGGTTGGACTCAATTATCTCTGAAGTCCTTTCCAATTTTAAGTGCTATGATCTCAATACCATGAAAGCAATACTTAGCCCTGGACTAGGGGAATGATTTGGGTTAGGAGGAGGAAATAGTAGACTTTTAAAAAATAAAAACTTTGGAGAGGAGAGCAAATCCAGGTTTGTTCACTCAGTCGACTTAAGCACAGTTCTAGAAACTTTCAAATAAAAGTGTGATATTTCCTATGTAGAATGCAAGCAGCAAGCAGGTGAGGTAGATGAGTGTTACCTTCATCTTTTATCTCACAGATGGGAAAAGTGAAACCCATGAGAGGGGACACCCCTTGCTTGACTTAGCATAACTACAAATCATTTCCAGATGTACTCGTGGAAATCTGAGCTCAGTGAAGCTAACAGCAATAGCCTCTCAATATGTAGACACATGGCAGGGGTAAGGGATCCATCATGAGTTGCATTTTCCTATGTGTGCGAAGCCAGCTTAGAGTCTGACTTCAATTCCTGGAAACATTCTAAAATGTTAAAGGGATAGATAATGAACGTCTAGAAAAGGAAGCAGTGATCACAAAGAGCTAGCATGGCTTCATCAAGACAGAATAAACATGTTTCCTTTTTTGAGATAGTCTACAGGATGCTGTAGATATAATTCACCTAGATTTTAGCTAAACATTTGGCAAAGTTTCTCATGCTGTTCTTATGGAAAATATGATGATGTGTGGACTAGATGATGGTACAATTATGTGCTTTCATGTCTAGTTGAATGTCTACAGAGTAAGTCTTTAATGGGTCAGAGTCACCTTGGAAGTGGAAGGAGATCTCCAGTGGCCATCCTGGGGATCTATGGTTGGCCCTGTGAGGTTTAATAGTTTTATCAGTCACTTGGATAAAGGCATAGATAGCATGTTTATCAAAGTTTCAGATGACAATAAGCTGAGAGAAATAGCTAATAAACTGGGATAAAAGAGACGGGGCTAAAAAAAAAACCTCAATAGGCAAGATCGTTGGGTTGAACCTAATGTGGTAAAATTTAATAGTTATAAATGTAAAGTTGGAACTTGCATTCCACAACCAAAATGCATCTGAAAAAAGTTTGGGGGCTGAAAGTTTCATAGAAGTCAGCAATGGGACACAGTGACCAAGAAAGCTAATGAAGTCTTGGACTGCATTAAGACAAACAAAATATCTAGGAATAAGGAGACGATTGTCCCTCTGTATTTTCTAAGTCACAGCACATCAGGAGTACTGGGGTTAGTTCTGTGTGCCACAGTTTGGGAAGGACATTGATTAACTGGAAAGTATTCAGAAGAGGAAAATAAGGATGGCAAAAGATTAAAGTTCATGAATATGAAGATTGGTTGAAAGAGCTGGGGATGCTACATCTGGAGAAGAGAAGACTTTGGGGAGGGGGGGAAGACAATGAAGACTATTTTCAGTCATATGAAGGATTGTCTTGTGGAAGATGGAAAAGACTTATTCTTCTTGGTCCCAGGGAGCAGAACTAGGTTCAATGGATACAAGTTGCAGAGGAAACAAATTTAGGCTTGATATAAAGGTAAAAGAAAAACAAATCCAAACCAAAAACAAACAAACAAACAAACAAAACACCTCCTAGCAATCAGAACTGTCCAAAAGAAGAATGAACTATCTCAGGGGGCAGTGAGGTCTCTCTCGTTAGAGGTCTCCAAGCAAAAGCTAGATGATCCTGGATTCCTCTTCAGGTATGAGTTAGATGAGATAGCCTCTGAGGTGTCTTCCAGGTCAGAAATATAGAACCAAATGGTAGGAGATGAAAAGTGCTGAAGCCAGGAGACACTCTGGGACCTACCACCTGGGTGACTTTGGGCAAGATATTTAGCCTCTCTCAACCTCAGTATTTTTCATCTCTAAAATGAGGGGATTGGACTAGATGATCTCAGGCATTTTCCAGTCCTTACGATACTATGACTTCCCTCACCAGCCCAAGGCAGCAAGGTTCATGAAATAGGCTCATGCAGTAACCTACTTCCCTCAAGCTCCACAAGTCACAAAGATGAAGGGCACAAAACCATGCTGCAAATTTATGTCACATACTCTCAACCGGGCTCTCACCATAGCAAGGCAATCCTTTTACACCTCCTTAATTGACTCACTATCCCACTTACCACAGTACCTCTTGCAAATCTTTTCATACTTCCACAAACCTTCCACGGTCCTCCCAACCTCCACCCTCTTGATTGAAAATTTTACCTCGTATCTGAAAAGCGTGAGACCGTTCGCTCCCTCTTCTCCCCTCCTGGCATCACCCATCACTCAGATACCTTCCACCACTTTCTCCTCCTTCACTCTTGTCTTACATGAAGACGTGACCTTTCTCTTTGCCAATGACCACATGCACAAGTGATCCCATTCTATCTCATCTTCTCCAGCAGACTGCTGCCTCCATCATCCCTACTCTCATGTTAATCTTCAGTCTCTCCTGCCTATTGGATGCTTTCCCACTGCATGTCTCTCTCAGCCTCAAAAACCTTTTACTTGGTCCATCCATCCTTTCTACCTATCATTCCACATCTGTTCTCCCTTTTGTGGCTAAACTCCTTAAGAAGGCTGTCTACAGTCAGTGCTACACTTCCTATCCTCTCACTTTCTTCCTAACGCTATGTAACTTGGCTTTTAACTTCATCATTCTATTGAAACAGCTCTCTCCACATTTATCAGTGACCTCCTAATCACTAAATCTAAAGGCCTTTTCTCATTCCACAGCCTTCTTGACCTCTCTGCAGTTTCTTACACTATCAATCACCCTCTTCTCCTTGATACTGTCTTCTCTCTAGTTTTCTTGGCACAGTCCCCCCCCTTGTTTCTTCTCCTACCTGTCTGACCACTTCTCAGTCCCCTTCACTGACTCTTCATTCAGGTCACTCTTGCTAACTGTAGGTGTCTCTCAATCTGTCCTGGCCCTCTTCTCTTCTATCTCTATGCTATTTCACAGGGTGATCTCATCAGCTCCGATGGATTCAACCAACATTCTAATGCAGATGATTCTCAGGTGTATTTTGCCAACCTTTACCTTTTCTAACCTTCAGTCTTAAATCTCCAACCGACTATTGGATCTCTCAAACTGGACGTCTTAAACTCAGTATGTCCAAAACTGAACTTACTACCTTTCCCTCCAAAGCTTCCCCTCTTCCTAACTTCCTTATTTCTGGCGGGGGTACTACCATCCTCCCAATCACCCAGGCTCATAACCTGTATCATCCTCAGCTCCTCACTCTCATCTCCCATATTTACTCAGTTGCCAACTCCTATCATTTCTACCTGCATAACATTTCTCATATATACTCCCTTTATTCCTCTGACACAGCCACCACCCTAGTGCCCATCCTCATCACCTCACACCTGGCCTATTGAAATAATCTATTGATTTTTCTTCCTGACTCAAGTCTCTCCCCACCCCAGCATATCCCCTACTCATCTGTCAAACTGATCTTCCTAAAGTACAAGTCTGATCTATTCAGTCAACTCTGATAGCTTCCTACTGCCTCCAGAATCAAATTTAAACTCCTTTGTTTGTCTTTTAAGGCCCTCCCTAGCCTTGCTCCTTCCTACATTTCCAGTTGTCTTATGTTTTTACATCCCTCCCATGTACTCTGTGATCCAGTGACACTGGTCTCCTTGCTGCTCCTCACTTACTACACTCCATGTCCTGACTCTGGGCATATTCACTGTCTGTCCTCCATGCCTGGAGCTCTCCTTCCTCTCATCTTTACCTTCTGGCTTCCCTGGCTTCCTTCAATACCTTCTACAGAAGCCTTTCTCAATTCACCTTAATCTTAGTGCTTTCCTTCTGTGAATATCCCCAATTTATCATAGATAGACACACAGACAGAGAGAGAAAACATCTTGTTTGTACATCATTGTTTGCATGTTGTCGTGTGTCGTCCCCCCCCCCAAGACTGTGAGCTTCTTGAGAGCAGGGACTGTTTTTTGCCTTTCTTTGAATTCCCACCACTTAGCACAGTGCCTGGCACATAGCAGGTGCTTAATAAATGTTTATTAATTGACTGAAAAAGAGAAACAACTGTTTCATTAGCTCTTGAATAACCAAGAGTTAACTGAAGCAATATGTTCACTGCACGGAGCTAATGAATTTAATTACTGTTAGATATAGTTTTAGGGAAAAAAAACCTTAAAATAGCAGTTAGCCTTTTTAGGAAGCTTGTCTACAAATTCTCTGGGCTCCCAGACAACTATGTTGAACTCACATAGCTACTGACCTTTCACAGACACAGAGGACAGCACAACTTTTGCCACAACTGAAAGTTAACCACTTAAAGTGATTCTATGAGTCTGAACTAATGAGTTAGCCTGGATACTAATGTATCTATGCTGTACAGAAAAGCAACTAGACATTAACATTTAGAAATGCTGGAGCCAAAGCAGAACTCAGGATGTATCCAGAGTAAAAGAATAAAAAGTGGTGCATTTTGGCTCTTAAAGAAATAAACAAATTTCTTTTTTAAAATTATGAACTTAACAAATGCCAGCACACATGAACATTCCAATACACAAAGAACAGGTGAAGAAGATATACATGAAACAATGACCTTCTGTTGCATACAGCTTTTTAAAAGTATATATTAAATTCAGCATAGTAGTAGCAACACTATCCTTATCTCTGTCCCCTTCTGAACTTCCTTTCCCTCTCTTCAATGCATTTTTATAATTTTTCATTGACACTTCTTTTTTTTCTTTTTCATTTTTGGAATTCTTACCACTACTCATCAAATCCCTTCCCATATCCTCCCCTCCCCCAAAAAAGGCCCTCTCTTATAATGAATATCTTGTCATCTTTAAGAAGCATTTTAATTTTGTTAGTAAACACCTTAGAAGCAACCTGCAACCCTTCTTCAAATTCAATACTAATATTAGTATTACTAATACTAATATTAGTAATGCTAGTAATTAGTAATACTAATCTTAGTCAGTAGTCAATAAACCCTTATTAAGAGCCTACCATATGCCAGGCACTGTGCTAAGTGCTGGGGAACAAATGTGAAAAAAGAAAGGCAGTCCCTGCCCAAGGAGCGTACAATCTAATAGGGGAAGACAAAATACAAAAGGAAGCTTAGGGGGTAGGGGGCTGAGGAGGATTTCCTGTCATGGAGGCATGGTGGAGAAGTCAGTCAGAGAAGTCTCAAAGTAGTGAAGCCAGACGAGAAATGAGAAATCTAAGCTGAGCCCTCCTACAATGGAGGTTTGGAGTTCATGGTCCCACCCTCCAGAGAGGAAGTAGATAGTGCTGAGGTTAAGTACCAAGGCTGATGATGTCTTACAGGATGAGGAGGATCTATAATGAGCATCCTGGGGCAGGGTAGAGAAGTCAGTTAGAGAAGTCCCAGAGTAGTGCAGCCAAATGAGTAAGAAATGAGACTGGGGGGCAAGGAGACAATCTTGGGTTTTCTTTCTTTCTTTTCTTTTTAACTCATATCATTAGTTACATAGTTGTATTTTGAGTTCTATATGGTGGCTCCTGTCAAGTTTGGAAGCTAGGTCATGAGGTCAGGGTCATGGTAGCAGAGATGTCATTCTGCAGAACTAGATACAAAGAGGTTAGATGACAGGTCCTGGGCACTACCTGGACCATTTATAAATGAGGTCAAAGGTTTGGAATTGGGAGGGACTTTAGAGATCATCTAATCCAGTGCCCTCATTTTAAGGGTGAGGAAGTGATTGGCTCAGAGAGATTAATGGGTTTGACCATGGTCCCACAAGTGAAAGGTCACAGAGCTGGGATTCAAACTCAGGTTGTGTGACTACAGAGCCAACACAATTTCCAAGAAATTCTCATAAAGTAAATTGGCCTCTCCCAAAGACGGAAGACAACATGACGGAAATAAGAACGCAAGAAATTCTGAGCAGTAGTCCATTAAGCTCAGGATTCTCTCTCTTACTGTGGCACCAAGGAATATTTTAGGAGTGAGCATGGTCACCCTCTACAAGATGCCCTCTCTAAATATTATGGATATCCTCCCAATAGCCCTAATTTTGATTAATGAATTTAATTATCTAATTATTAATTTATCTGCCATGAATTTCCAAAGCCTCTCTTGAGCTTTATATTTTGAGCCTTTATTCCTTGGAGTAATGAGTCAAAAAGTTTACTTAACACTGTGTCCTATTCCAACAGCTTTATAAATATAGATATATACAGAAGAAAAATTAGAGGCTGGAACAGAATTTACTATGCATATGGTGAACACACACACAAAAAAAGTAGGAGTTGCTGTCCTGCTATATCAGTCAGTGAAGGAAGAACCCATACAATGAAATCATAAATCACTGAAGTACCCATTCTGGGCCCAGTCTCTTAAATCACACTACAGTGGTAAGTTGGGCCCCCAGCGGGCAGTTGACTACCATTCTCCTCAGAGTTATAGGGGCAACCTCTAATATCTATGAGCCCCATTTGGTGCTTTCCTCAATATCAACCAACCATATGATATCAATGAGCTTTTACAAGAGAGTAATTACTGAAAAAGTATTTATTGGGAAAGTAAGGAGAGAATTTATGAAAACATCCCCTAAACCAGAGGAACACTCTCCTCTTGAATATACAAGGTCCATGGGATGAGTGGGCTCAAGATTAAAGTATAAAGGTAGTCGGGCACACACGTAGGGAACACGTGGGACTAAGCGATACCTCATGACTCTTGACCCTAGGAGTCCTTTTCTTCCTTCACAGAGTCCCTACCAAGTTCAATGGTCAAGTTGCTCCCTTCCTCAGCTGAGAAGTCTCTTGTTGGACACAGCGTCTCAGCCAATGGGTCAATACATTGCTAGGCTGAGTCAATTGGGTATCTTTGATGCTGAACTGGCTACTCACCAGACTTGAATGTGCCACTACCAGTTCCAGTGATCTTTACCACCAATTCTGGTTGCCGAAGGGACCTTTTGATGCTTCCTCCAACCTTCTGAAGATCATAAGGTCATAACCTGGTCAGTTCCTTCTTCAGACAACCAATCATCTAAGATAAGGAAATAACAGATAAAAAAGAAATAGAAAACATGCATTCAGGGACACGTGAGCTAGTTTGGTGGGAAAAGTGTCCGGCTGCCCTTCCTCCCCACCTACCTGCTCAGAGAAGTTCTTTCTTACTTGCAAGCCATGAGGGAAGAGAGTGAGAGCTTGTTCACTCAAACATTTTGTATACACACTCATTTCCAGCTCATTCAGCTTCTACTTAGTCATCAGTCCTTCTGAGTTCATACCATCATCATATATCAACCTGGAATCATCATGGCTGAAATTGGTTTCTGAAGTTCCACATGCTGGATTGGAAGCAGGCAGAAAACATTACGCATGCTCTCTATAACCCACCAGAAAAGGCAAATCTGAGCATGCTTAAAGGATTAAGACCTCATTGGTCAGTTCTTCATTAAAAGTATAAAATATCCTAAAGTATCATGTATTTTAAAACTATCTTTTCTCAGGTTTCAAGGGGGTGATGCCTCATTTTAATACTATGGAGTTTGGTAAATATCCACCCATTCATCCAATGAGCATTTTAAAGTATCTGTTGTGTTCTAGGCACTGTGTACTGCGTAAACCTCATCCAGCACAAAGAGATAAACATTTGTGAGCCTTCCCAGAGCTGAGTAAAGATACGTTACTCAATGACTGTAACCCTCCTGCTTCCCCCCTGTCAAGGCCATTTCCCTGTCCCATGAGTACTTCCCTTTTATGCATAGAAATGAACCAATGACAGTAGAATAACAGAAAGTGATCATCATTAATAACTGATAGAACCCCTTGTAATAATAATAATGATAGTTAACATTTATAGAGCTCTTTAAGATTTGCCAAGAAATACACACACAGACACACACATGCACATAAGCATACACACACACATACATATACATATATGCAAACATACATATAGCAAAGAGCCTCACATAGGTATATATATTTTATTATTTTTGTTCAGTTGTTTTTCAGTCATGGCCAACTCTTTGTGACTCCATTTGGGGTTTCCATGGCAAAGATACTGGAATGGTTTGCCATTTCCTTCTCTAGCTCATTTTACAGATGAGGAAACTGAGGCAAACAGGGTTAAGTGACTTGTCCAGGGTCACACAGCTAATGTTTGAGGACCGATTTGAACTCATGAAGAGGAGTCTTCTTGATTCCAAGCCCAGGGCTTGGATATTGAACCAACAGTCAATCTCTCTCATCACAGGAGACACGTGTTTTCCAGAACCTTAGACTAAGATCTTAACTACATTGTTTTAATTTGTTTTGTATCTAGGAATAACCATCTATGCTGTTGGAGTAGGAAAAGCCATTGAAGAAGAATTGCAGGAGATTGCATCTGATCCCCCTGATAGACATCTCTTCTATGCAGAAGACTTCAGCACAATGGGAGAAATAAGTGAAAAACTCAAGAAAGGAATCTGTGAAGGTGCCAAATATCAATTTGATCAGTTACACAGGAAAGGGAGCAGCAGGAACCCCTCTACTTCCTAGATTCTCAATCTGTTCTTTAGGATCTCCAGTGCTCAGTAGCTTTTTATATAAAAAAGTGTTCTTTCAAGTTGGGAGGAAAATAATGCTTAAGAGAACCAATATCAGGGAGAGGGCCTAGAGATTGAGAAAAAGTCAGTACAGACATGCCCCAAATAGTGTTGCCCCCTATCACATTCTCTTGCAATAACATTAATACATTATAACCAAGTGCCACCATAATAGACTCAAACATTATTGCAATAAACCCAATCGCCCAGATGTAAATGCCTTTTACATTCCAATTGATGGAGATTAAGAATCACCTGCCTCCAACTGGTAGAAATGAGAGTAGTCTGTAATACATGGACCAATCAGAAAATTGTTGTTGGCTAGGTCCAGGATGGTAGCAGTCAGGAACTATAAAGGGTGCCCACCTGCACAGTTGCCTGCTCACCCCCCAATCCCACCCCATTTGTGCTACTCCAATCACTCTTCTTTCCATTTTGACTGAAGCCAGTCCTAAGGAGAGAGGATGGGATGATGCTGGGAGTTGCTACCTTTATGCTAAAGATGAACCATATTAAGCCCCCAAGGGAAGACAAAGTTGTGGGAGAGTGATGAGACTATGAAGATGTCACAGAGTCAAGCCCAAAACCACTCCCCAGCACAAACACACAAACACACACACACATACATCCATGGCCCTCATCAAGGACAAAATAAGAACACATGTGAGGCCAAACCTTTTACTCTGTGTGATGTCTTAAGTGAGTGACAACCAGTCTTAGGTATGGAGGAAGAGGGAAAGGGTAGGGAGGAGGAATTGGTATCACCATTATAGAGATTACATAGTCTCAATTCTCTGTAACTCTTAATTTCAGCCTTTTGGTAATACAGAAAGATATCTCTCATTTATAACATTATTCCTGTGGAACTAACCGCCCCCTAAAACACTACTTTGCCTAATGTTCTGTTTTCATGGAACAAATTAACATTAGGTGGGGAGATATTCCTGCCTAAAGTGAAACAAATTAAAACTTGGCTAGCTAATCAAAGCTAAACCATTTTAAGTTTCAATGGGTAGCAAAAAGTACAGATTGATGCATATTTTATGTGTGTTTATATAACTGAGATGGAAAAGGGTCAATGGAAAAATGTCCTTTCAAATCATCATTTATGACAATGAGTTTCCACTCATAGGAAGTAACACTACTTCACATCTGCATAACTCTTTTATCCCTTTCCAAATGCCTTCATTTACATTATTTCATTTATATGAGATCATGGAAAAGATTGAGAATTCAATTCAGTGCAGTGAGTATATATTACATGTCTGCTGTGTGGAAAATGCTACGCTAAGAACTAATGATACATAGGCAAAAATGAAATGGTCTTTGCCCTTGGAGTGCTTAAATTATACTGGACAGATGCACTATGCACAAAGATGAGTAACTACATAAAGTTATCCAAAGTAGTTTCAAGAGGAAAGGAATGCTAATAACCAGAGGTGGGAGGGAATTAAGGGGAGTTAAGGAGTCAGGTGGGGAGACAGATCAAGAACGTCCTCGTGAAGGCAGTGCTAATAACAGAGGGGGGATGTCAGAGCTGGAGGTGAGGAGTGGTGAGAGAGATCAGGAAAGGCCTCATGTAGGGGATGGCACTTGAGCTACGCGTGGAAGAAAAACAGACATTCTAAGAGGCAGAGGTGAGAAGCGGGGAGGGAAGATGCATGATTTCTACTTGGCGAATGCTTTGACTATTTGATTTTTATAGCTTAGATTTCAATCTGCAAGATATATTCATAATCTTTTCTGTTCCCTTTCTCTGTGACTTAAAATAGATGTAAAGAAACTCCAACAAATTTAGATATGTTATTACTTGCTCATAAATTCTCAGTTCAATCAAGTACACCAGATCTATCCTAAATCGTACGGGCTACACACAAGAAAGAGGGGATTAAATTAAAGAGGGAAGAGGACAAAAGGTCCTCTGTGTTTTATTAGACAGATGATGTATCACAAGTACAACAAATAACATTATGCATTCCAAGTTGGTCATCAGGAAAATGGCATGCAGTATGTGCTATCATCATTTGCACTTTGCTCCTTCAACCGCTTTTCTCATGACATTCCACCTAATTTCTTTTGGACTGATATTTTAGTGGATGGTCTTAAGTGAGAGACATTGCCTTAGCTTGGAGGCCTCTTTTACTAGAGAAAACTTACCTGATTTCATCTGCCTGGCAGAGGGTACTAAGGGACTTTGGCAATCTTAAAGTTCAGAAAAGAAAACAAAGTAATTTCAGTAAGGAGCAAAAGTGTAGTCACTCTGCAATAGTTCCCACCACACACACACACACACACACACACACACACACCCATAGATGAGGGATCTAAAGGGTCTATGCTGCACTCATACTTGGACAGCAGTCACTAATTTTCCACAGCTGTGGATCTCTATGTCTCATTCCTTCTTGGTCATATCTTTTCTCCTAGCTCTAGAAGACTCAAATGGGAACCAGGACTCCCCAGCTGGTGATCTTCCTAAGATGGCCCAACAGCCCCCAGGTAAATAAAAAAAGCCCTTGAGTATTTCATCATTCTATAGCAAGGGTCAGCAAACTAAGGCCAGAGTGCCAAATCTGACCACCACCTGTTTTGTACAACCTTGGAGCTAAGAATAGTTTTTATATTTCTAAATAAAGGAGGGTCTTTTGCATTTTAAAATGTAAAAACCATTCTTAGTTCACTGGCCATACAAAAACAGGAGGCAAGATTGGGTCCATAGGGCATAGTTTGCTGACCCCCATTCTAATTTAAAGCATCATAAAATTTCAAAACTGGAAAGCACCTCAGATGCCATCTTATCTAACTTTCACATTTTCCAGGAAGGAGATGAGGCCAATAGGCGACCTGACTTGTCCAAAGTCCCAAGGCAAAACTAATGCTAAAACCTAATTCTTGTAATTTCCAATTCAGTCCTATTTCCAGTACACTATAAAAATGTTCTCAGCTTCTCAAGAATAGCAGTGTGGACCTGGAGCTAGGACCACCTAGGGTCAGATCCTTTATCAGACACTTACCACATACCACGGGTAAGTCATCCAACTTCTCCAAGCCTCAGAAAGATCCAGTAATAAAACCCATCACATCAAAGGTCTATATGCTAATGAACAACTTTTAAGCAAAATGTAAGATGAACTAGAGAACCAAAAAAACAAGGAAGAAAATTTGATCTCATACTTCCACTGAGATTTGGTATCTTGATTGGAATAGGTTCCCTCTGGATGAGTACATCTAAAGAAACAGGTCAATTAAAGGGGGAAGGGATATTCCCCCTTGTATTAAGAAGGTATACATATATGAGTTCAAATCTGGCCTCATATACTCACAAGCTATGTGACCCTGGGCAAGTTTGTTTGCCTCAATTTCCTCATCTGCAAAACAAGCTGGACAAGATACTCCAGTATCTTTGCCAAGAAAACCCCAAACAGGGTCACGAAGAGTCGGACAGGATTGAAACTGAACCACAGCAACAACACTCACATAAGGAAATAAAAAACGAGAGTAGGGAATCAACAGTGAAGGAACAAACAAAAGAAATTACGTTATCAAAGAGTATGCCAAACATCACCTGTGCCAAAAGAGAAACCAGATGAGGAGTTTGAAAAATAAAGCACAAGACTGATACTGAAATATGATGTAGTCGTAATGTGGGGCCTGAGTTATACATATATCATCTGGAGCTATCCATCTGACAGAAGCAGTAAGCTAATAACTTCTTGGCTTGCTACAATAATAATCCCAGACTTAAGAAGTTAGGAGACCCAACAAGAAGAAATTCTACTCTGGATCTGATCCTCACTAACACGCAAGAACTGATTGCTGGTAAAGCAAGGATGAGAAGTGATCACTATTTCTTGGAGAGCTCTAATAGAAAAATGGTAAAGGGATACAAGGGGGCAGCTAGGTGATGCAGTGGATAGAATGCCAGGCCTGGAGTCAGGAAGACCTAAGTTCAAATCCAGCCTCAAGACACTTACCAGCTGTGTGATCTTAGGCAAGTCATTTAACCCTGTTTGCCTCAGTTTCCACATCTGTAAAATAAGCTGGAGAGGAAATGGCAAACCACTATCTTTGCCAAGAAAATCCCACATGAGGTCACAGTGAGTCAGACACAACTGAAAAACGACTGAACAAAGGGATATAAACAGGGAATTTTCAAAGGAAGAGAATGAAATCTAAAGGCCAGTGAGATTGACTTTGATTCCTGGCAAAAATCTAGAACACATTATTAAAATGATGTTTACAGACATCTAGAAAAGAGCCAGCATGTCTTCAGCAAGAACAAATCATGACTAACTCAATTTATTTCCCATTTTGTCAGGTGGCAGTCCATTTGCCTAAGTGGAGGGCTCCAAATTGCAGATTCTTAAAGTACGAAACTGGTAGATAGGGAAAATACAGGAGACAGAGCTTTAACTATATTTTAACTAAGTATCTCATGTAATTCATGTAGAAAAGATGGAGAAATGTGGGCTGGACAATTATAGTTTTAGATGGATTTGGAATCGGTTTTGTGGCCAGATTCAAAGAGATATTAATGGCTTCAGACCACCTTGGAAGGAGGCTTCCAGTGTTTCCTGGGGATCTGTGCTTTGTCCCATGAGGTTTAACACTTTCATCAGTGATTAGGATAAAAGCATAAATATCACGCCTATCAAAGTCTTAACTGAAACAAAGTTGGAAGTTATAGCTTATATGCTCAGTGACAGTTAAGATCCAAAGATTCTGACATGCTAGAACATGGCTGAATCAATTTAGATGAAATTTAATAGGAGTAAATGTGAAGTCTTACACTTGGATTCAAACATCTATTTCACAAATACTGAGGGAATCGGTGTAGGTAGACAACAGTTCCTTGGGGAAAGGTCGGGAGACAAATTACAAATTCAATATGAATTAGGAGAGTGATTGAACAGCCAAGAAAGATAAAGTGATCTCAACTCCAGGATTACAGAGACATAACTTCCAGGAATACAGAGGGGGCAGTCCCACTCTGCCCCAGTCAGACTACATCTGAAATACTGTATCCAGTTCCAGGTGCCACCGGTTTTAGGAAGCAAATTGTTGTTGTTGCCTATCCTTTGTTCTTGAAGAGGACCATGACATCAGGGAAGCAATGCCATGACATGCAAGTAAACTGGATTTAAGTGAGGGAGAGCTGTGCAAAGTCACCAGCCTCACTTTCTCCTCCAGAGCCATCTGGGTCCAGTAGCAAGATACAGATCAGGATGACTAGATGTGGCCCTGGATGTAGTGGGAGACCTCAGACTTTTTGGTAAGCTAGGGAATGTCCAGAGGAGGGCACCAGGACAGTGAAGGTCCCTGAGTCTGTGCCAAAGAAGGATCATTTGAAGGAAATGGGGGTGGTTAGCCTGGAGAAGAATTTAGGAAGCCCATGACAGTGGTGTACAAGTATTTGAAGAGTTGCCTTGTGAAGCAGGGATTTAATTGTATCTATTTGGCCCTAAAAGGAAGAACCAGGAGCAATGGATAGACATTGTAAAGGCCTGATGTTGAGAAAAACTTCTTAGTGATTCAAGATATCCAAAAGTGGAATGGGCTATGTTGGGAGGCTATGGGGCTCCCCTCACTGGAGGTCACTTAGCAAAAGCTGGATGGCCACTAGCCAAATACGTTGTGGTAGGACTTCTTTTTTTCAGGTGTAGTTTTGCCTGGATGGGCACCAAAGTCCCTTCCAACTTGGAACTTCTGTGGGCCTACAAAATGGTTTGCATTCAGTCTGCCTTGGTGTAGAGCTATGAAATTGCATGTCACGGAAGTATTCAAATTGATTACTACTGTAACAGAATTAAGAACAGGACTGGAAGTCTTAAATGGAATAAGAAACACTGTTTTCATGTGCATCAAAGAAAAAGTACAGAACAATTTATGCCATCCACAACTTTCTTTTTTAAACTAGATGACGCAGAAATACTATGAATCATTTATTCCACACTTATACCGCTACGTGGTCAGTGCCACTGCAGATGGTCTTTATTGCCACAGTTCTCCCCCAAAGACAAACTACACAACCTCAGGGCAGGAATACTAAGTGCCTCTCCCTACTAATAGTTGTGCTGCAGCCAGGTTTGACCTCAGCTCTCTCTCTGTCTCTCTCTGGGTGGTCTCTTGCAGAACCTGAGCCAGCCACCATAAATATCCAAGACCTACTTTCCTGTTCTAATTTTGCAGTTCAACACAGATATCTCTTTGAAGATGATAACCTTTCCCAGTCGACACTGAGGCTTTTCCATTCAACCAAAACAAAAGGTAACTCCAAGAGATATGTATTTAAAGTGATAAGTATTTCAGTATATATTATATAAGATGTGTATTGAAGTGATAAGTATTTAAAGTGGTAAGTCTTCTAGCTCCCCGACCAAATGAGTATCAAACAAGAGATCAGAGAATAAGAGATTTAGAACTGGAAGGGTTTTAGGGGTCATCTAGTCCAACTCCTACCTTTTTACAGAGGAGGAAACTGAGGCCCAGAGAGTTTAAATGATTTGCCCAAGGTGAGCAAAGGTAGGATTTGAACCTGCTCCTATGACTCCCAATCAATCACTCTTTCCATTGTGTCACACAGAAGTAGGGACAGGAAAGTAGGATGAGGTAGCTAGGTGGCATAGTGAGTGAGCTGAATGTGGAATCAAGATGAACTGAGTTCAAATTCTGCCTCAGACACTTACTGGCTGTGTGACCCTGGGCAAGGCACTAACTTCTCTGGGCCTCAGTTTCCCCATGATAAAATGAGGATAATGATAGCATCCACTTTTTACAGGGTTGTTGTGAAAATGGTATGAGATAGAGGTACAACTCTCTGCAGACTTTAAAGTGCTATACAAATGCTAGCTCCTACTACAACTATTACTCTCATTATCATCATCAGCATTATCACTATTAGAAAAGGAAAAGGGGGGAAAGCCTAAAGAACATGAAAAGTAAGTGGACAGCCTCGAAGGAACCTAGGATAAATGACAGAAGTTAACAATAATAACTGGCATTTATATAATACTTTAATATCTACAAAGTGCTTTATAAATACAATCTCATTTGATTCTCACACACCAATCCTGAGAGTGCTATTTTTAATCCCCATTTTACAGATGAAACAACTTGCAGATATAGATTAAGTGACTTGTCCAGGGTCACAGAGTCAGTAAGTGTCTGAGACTGGATCTGAACTCAGGTCTTCCTGACTCAAAGTCCAGCACTCTATCCACTGCAGTACTTAACTGCCTCAAGATATCCCTAAGACCGCTCATTAGAGGAGACCAGATTCTGCCAGTTCTAGAAGAGTATATAGCATTTCCTGGTATTTGCTTTATTGGATATTCCTGCATGGAAAATGTTGAGCATATCTGTTCATTATGGTTTCGCCCATATGCTGATTCAGTTCTGTTATTATGTGTCTGGGACGTCTAGTGGGTTACAGAGGTGAACACTTTCCATCTGTTTTCCCAGGAAGCCCTTCAGAAGAAAAGCATGATCGATGCAAATGTGAAAACCTCCTTACATTCCAGAATTTTGCAAACCAAGAGGTGAGAAAACTCACAGAGAGATATATCCTTTGTTTATAATTGTGCTTCAGTATGTGGTTCAAGGTATGTGGATTTTTAAGGGGTGTGAAAGAGGACAGATGATACCTGGGAAACCTTCTACGCACTCATTCCCCATGAAGCCCACCCAACCATTTGCTACCAGTACAAGGCAGTAGACTGTTTGTTCCTCTTAGAACAGGAACAAATTCTCTAATTGTTTTGATGAGGCAGTTACCTAAAAGCCAGGAGCACTGCTTTAATGCCGGGAGGTCATGCATTTACATGCCACCTGCTGGCCTAGAGGGATGAATCAGGGGCCATCCTGACAGCAGCCGACCCAGGCCTTGCTAGAGGGGCACAGACCATAACCTTGACTCTTGACCATTGTTTCCTCCTCCTTCTCCTTCTCCCTTCTGGTGAGAGGTCTGGATCACCTCCGAGGTACAGTATGTTAAAGGAAATCATGTTTGAGAATTAGGGAGCATCAAACTGTATCTGACACCTTGACCCATTTCCTTAGCCCTGAAGGGTAACAACTCCTAGTTTTTGATTCTCTGCACATAAGTTTCTGGAGAAGAGTGTGTTGGCAGCAGAGAGCCTTTACATCAGCACTTTAAAGATAAAACACTCTGCAGAGGGAACAGCCAGATCCAGTGATTCATTAAAACAATATTACTAACAAAGGAATGCTTTGGGATAACAGAAGAGGGGCTCAGCGATTTCACACACTAAATACCCCTTCCTGCTGTTTTCAACTTAAAGCAACAGTGTGCCTGCATGATATACAGAGCCTGATACTGGAGTTCTGGTTTCAAAGATCTTTACTATGTACTAACTAGATTGTGGGGAAACTGTTTAATTCTGAGCCACCTCTGTGCCGGCGGGCTCCTACAATAAGGAATAGCATGTAGCAATTACCTTTTTGAAAGTCCACAATATGTTTTCCAAGTAAATGAAAGAACTTGGTTATTGTAATGGATGAGTCTGGGCTCTAAGTCCTTGAGAGTGCTGAACTGGCAAGAATTTCCCTAGCTAGAATTCTGCCACCATCATCTAGGCCTGAGGGTAGATGCAAGGGTGGGTAGACAGTTAAGTCCCCTATGCCACAGACAGCTCCTCCCATGCCCTACTCATGTCTTAGCTTAATCAGGGAGACTCAAACCCAGCTACATTTATCGGGAGAAGGAAGGCAACGGCTAAAGCCCCACAGGGCCCCCTTCCATATCCTTTCCCAAACCTATAAAATTGGTAGAATCATGTTTAGAACTGGTGTGGTGGAAGATAGCCAGGGATGTAGCAGGGCTGAGACTCTGAAAGCAAGGGCATGGTTTTCTGGGAAGACCCAAGGTTCCCTCCTGGGGGATGGATGTTAGGACCAGTGTGCCAGGTGTAGAAGAAGCTCTAGCCTCCCTGTGCTCACTCATCTGCACTCCAGCTATCACCTCTGCTATGCTCTTGCTCAATTCTAAATGCTTATCTCCACCTCATAACTAGAGGCAAACCAAGGCTAGCAAAGAGGTAATCCACTGGCTCCCAGCCAGAACAGTATAATAGCCCAGGCCTGTGGATGGCTAGTGAATGCAGAAAGGCACAGAGTATACCATGGGCCAGGCTTCTATAGCTACTTGGACATCTGACAGCTATAGCATAATGGCAGAGTTCTTTTCTCTTGCCTTAGCCTGTTTCATTCTCTCTTTTCTCCCTTTGTCTCCTACCTCTCTTTCTTCCATTTTCCAGTTTAATTTCTATAGTTTTTCAGAGATTTACCTCTCTGTCCTCTACTCTTCTAGTGAGTGCATATATCAGACCCTCACTATCTGATTGTGCGGCTGGGGTCAGCTTGATCCTCTCCCCCTCAAAAGATGCTTCACTGCGTTAGTCATTGTACCATGGGATTTTTTGAAAATTCTAAAGTCACACTTTGACCAACTGAGCTAGCTGGCCTAGGTTAGCATTAAAATGTGTGTTTTTAAACAATAAAAGTATGTAAGGTGTTGAATATAAATTGCTTAAATTTAAATGCACAGCAATGAGAAAAGGCAAGGATTGTTGGGGTTTTTTACCCCTGGTGGAAGGCACTACAAATTTTATGTAGCTAACTATACCTGCTTGTGAATTCAGAGTGAACCAAAAAAAAAATGCATTTTGGATGCTTCTTTCTTTCCTTAACTGATGGTTTACTGGAAGAAATGACAAGAAGAATGGAGGCACTGGAAAATCGCCTGAGATACAGATGAAGATCTGAACTTGTCTATGTGTTTATATGCAGAATTATCATTCCAGACAGAATTATGGTGAGAGCAGGTCAGAGTCATGGGGCTCCAGGTGCTAAATCTGTATGTAACATTATTGAATCCCCAGACATTTCTGGGGTAGAGATTCAGTGTTAGATTCCATGTGGAACCAAGGCAAAAGCACACTAACTTGTAAAAAATACATTTAGAAAACAACCGTACTGAATTCCAAGTAGAATGCAACCAAGTGAGAAGAAAGAAGCTACCCGGCAAATAATAGTCTTGGAAAATATATTTGTGGGCATTTAAAAATGTATTTTGGTCCTATATGGTGCACATCATTCATTTCACTACTTTTCCCTCCCTTATAAAGTGAGTGTTGCCAATGTTTCATTTGACTGCAAAATAAACCATTTGTTAACTATGATTTTTTTTACTATGATTGGACATTTCCATCAGAAAAATATAAACAGTATGGTATTTTTTTTTGTATTGGACTTTAACTTGATATATATATATGGATATATGCAGGTCTCTTTGCTGAATCGTAAGACATATGCATTGTATTATAAATTAGGAATTTTATATTCAAATAAAATTGAGGAAAGTTCTACCACTGTCCAGAGTTCTGACTTAAGACAGTCACCATACAGGGTAACTAGGTGGCAGAGTAGGTAGAACTCTGGCCTTGGAGTCCGGAGGACCTGAGTTCAAATGTGACCTCAGACACAAAACACTTACTAGCTGTGTGACCCTGGGCAAGTCACTTAGCCCCACTGCCTAGCCAAAACAAAACAAAACAAAACAAGACAGTCACCACAATAAGGAGCCTAGAAACCACCTCAACCAGCAAATACTTGATCTCCTTGCTAAGCGGACAATCATGACAAATAAAAGTGACACCAATTTAGAGTACAAGTGAAGCATTATAGGAAAGGACAGGGCAGCTAGGGGGCACCACAGTGCATAGAGTGCTGGGCCTGGAGTCAAGAAGACTCTTCACTTGTTCGAATCTGGCCTCAGACACTTAATAGCTGTGTGACCCTAAGCAAGTCACTTAACTCTGTTTGCCTTGGTTTTCTCATCTGTAAAATGAGTGGGAGAAGGAAATGACAAATCCAGTATTTTTGCCAGGAAAATCCCAAATAAGGTCATGTTGGACATGACTGAAAAATGACTGAATAACAATAGGAAAGGACAATAGATTACATCCTGTGTCACCTTACAAAAGAGGGGAAAAAATTGCAGAAAGTTTTGTGTGATGCTCCATTAACCCAGATCATCCAGAGAGCTTAAGGATATACATGTAGCTTAAGGACAAGAAACAGACATGAAGTAGAACAAGTCTGTCATTATTTCTATAGCAATATATTCTCATCATGGATATTGGAACCAACACAATTAGCCTCTTTAGAAGATGAAGGAAGAGTATGTGGATTTGACAAAATACATACAGAAGAAATGTATGTTGCATGAGACAATTTAATAGCACTTACATTTTACAGAGGATTTCAAAGAGGAAAGGATTCCAAAAGAATGGGAAAGATTACAGATGGCATGAGGAAATAAGGAGAAGGGCTAAGAGACATAAACTTGGAGTGAGGAGAAATCCAAGTTTGAGTCATACCTCCAACATCTTCGGCTTGGGGCAAGTTAAATAAATGTTTATTGACTGACTTTTAACCTTTCTTAGATTTTCCTCATCTGTAAGATGGAGATGATATCACCTACTTTACATATTATTGTGACATATATAAAATGCTTTATAAATCTTAAAGCTATATAAACATTAGCTATTGTTATTATAACTTAATGCCAAGTACTGTGGTTACAAATACAAATGGATAGAGTGGAGAAGATGGTCACCAGCATCAAATACCACAAAGTAATCAAGAAGACCCAATGATGCTATATAGATGAGAATTATAGAACACAACCATCTCTAAAGACTCAAAATTGCAGGTGATCCTTAGGACAATAGAAAAACATAATGTGGAGGTAAGTAGGCTGTAAAACATAACCAAGGAGTAGTATAGAAGGTATCAAGGATATATCACTGAAAAAGGAGGTGGGTCAGTCATATGGAAAGAATGAGAACTACATAGCCCAGGTACTATACTGGTAGCTACAAGACTTAAAAGAAGCAAAGGGTCTCTCCAGTTGGGCAGGACACACATGGAGGATTTATGACAGGATATGGTGGGATGCACTGTATGTAGTCTACATGGATGGACAGAGTAGCTGCATCAATGAGATCACAGAACCATAAAAACAGCAAAGTATCCAGTAAGATACACTGGAATTGTTTCCAGATGGCTCCATTCTCAACTGTCATAAATGTCTCCGCTTCTAGATTTTGTTGTAACCAGGCTCCCTCTGGTGGCTATAAAGAATACCTCTATTTCACAATCAGATTTAGATTTAGAGTGATGCAGTTCAGTTACCACATTTCAGAAAACATTATTATCGATAACAATAGCATACACTTACTATGTCTGAGATTTACAAAGTGCTTACATCTGAAATGATTGTAAAATAGGAATGAATATTATCTCCATTTTATGGATGAAGAAACAAAGCTAAGAGATTAAATGCCTTGCCCCTGACTACTTACAAAGGTAGTTATGTGCTAAGGACAGGCTTTGAACCCAGTTCTTCTGACTCAAAGTCTTTCACTGAACAAATATTTATTTAGTGCCTACTAATAGAAGCCAGGTATCTATAAATCTAGGTGACAGAGACACAGACAAAAACAAACATAGGGACTACTGTATTCTATTAGAGGAGGAAAGAGGGACTTATACACAATTAGGATAGGGATAGGGGCTGGACCTGTGATTTCACTGATAATAGGGAACTCCCAAGTGAGGACATGCCTTCTACCAATACCAATTGCCACTTTTCCTGCAACTTATAGTCTTGAGATTAGGGTCTGCCCAGGATCACATAACCCATAGGTGTTAGAGGCAGGACCTGAATCCAGATCTTCCTATCCAAGGCAAGGTCTGTTCACTCTGTTCACTATGTCATACTCTTTTTAATAGAATTACAAATTAATCTGGAAGCAGCGATCAGGATAGGCCTCATGTAGTTTGACCCTTGAGCCAATTCTTGAAGGCATCTAATTCTCTTCTCACTCTTCTAGTGAGAAAGAAGTGCATTCCAGGAACAAGGATAGCCCATGGAAAAGCAGGGATGGGACATGGAAAGTTGTATATGGGGAAGAGAGAGTAACCCAGCCTGGCTGGAGAGAGTTCATAGATGAAACTAATATGCAATAAGTATGGAAAGCTAGGCTGGGGACAAATTGTGATGTCCTCATGAAAAGCTCCTAGAGCAAGGGGGTATGTCCAACACTCTCTACTATACTATATACTATATGCCATCTGGTTTTTCTAAAAACCTCAAGAATGGTTTCCAGTTGAATAAAGGAAAAACATGACCTTATATCCTATATTTTCACATAATTTCACTTGATTCTCACAATTGTGTGAAATAGGGCTGATATTGATATTTCTCATTTAATAGATGAAAAAAATGAGGTGAAATGGAATGGTCCAAAGTTGAACAGTTGATAAGTAGCAGTTAACAAAGCTAGAGCTAGAACCTAGGCCTTCTGCATCTAAGTTATACTTCAATATACAAAAAGGGCCCCTAATCAGGTCCAGAAAAAGCTGACAAAATTCCCTTAAAAAAAAGTTCTTATGCTTTTACCTATTCTTAAGTTTTTGCTTTTTTTTTTTGAAGCAAGGTTCATTTATTTATTTTGATGTTGAATTTTTTTATAACCTTGAATTCCAAATTCTTCCTCCACCCCTCCACCACCCATTGAGAAGGCAAGCAATATATCAGTTATACATGCATAACCTTCATTTCCAAACACATCCTTCCAATCCCTAGTAAGAAAGATTAAAAAGTAAGGGTCAGGATTTGGGGTGGGAGGCAGTTGAGCAAAACTAATTAATACATCAAACCACCTGACAGTAGATGAACCAATCAATAAGTATTTGTTAAACATCTACCTTGGCTTAGGCACTGTGGATAAAAAACAAATGAAAGTCAGATTTACTGTCCCATAGGACAGTCTCCCAAAGGAAGGTAATTTAGGGCCACAGTGCAGCTAAGGGCTCTCTTTATTAGTTATCATGGTTAGCAGCAAAGTTATCTCCTAATGAAAACCTATTACACCTTACCTAAAGTGAGGTGACAGTGATGCAGCTCTGGAGATGACTTCCTAACTCTCCTTTTTGTCTGACATGATGCTTCCACTTTGGGAAGATACGGGGGGGGGGGGGAATATGGAGGATGAGGTTTCAGGTTATAGATGCCTAGCAAGCTATCTGCCACCTCTGCTTCTAGAGCTATGACTTGGGACCTTTGAACAATTAACTGCTTGAGAAGAATGAGCGTAAGAATGAAAAACATTCTCCTTTTTTTTTACTCAAGGTTAGGTCAAAGAAGGATATAAATGAAAATCCAGAATACTTCAAATTGAGACCAAGCCAAAGTTTGGCTTGCCATATCATCCCTCCTCCTTCTCATAATCCATCTCAATTCTTTCCCTTTTTCTATTTGTACATTTTGGGCAGAGGACAGTTTAATATTGGTGGATTTTCCTAAAATACATATCGTTCTCCCCTACTCAAAAACCTTCAGTGATTGATTCCTTACTACCTCTTGAAACAATCTGAGTTGGAATGATCCAGAAGCCATTGTAATTTAATCCACACCTAAATAAGAATCCCTTCTACAATATATGACAATCATCTAGCTTTTGCTCAAAAGAAAGTAAATCTATTCCCCTTTCCAAACTTAATTCACATTATATACCCTTTTGACACTCCAGACAAACTGGACTAATAACCATCAGCCTACTCAAAATTCTATTTCCCCTCTCTGTGTGCTGACACAGGTTGTCCTCCATGCCAGGAAGGTTCATTCTTTTTTTTTTTTTTGATTTATCAACAATCACTTCCATATGCTTTTAAGTTTAAAATTTTTCTCCCCCTTCCTCCCCACCACCCTCCCCACAACAGCGCACAATCTGATATAGGCTATACATTCACATTCCTATTAAACATATTTTCACATTAGTGAAGTTGTAAGTAAAAATTAAAGCCATTAGGAGGAACCATCAGAAAGAGGAAACAAACCTCAATAGAAGAGAGAAAAAAAAAAGATAGCGATTCAACTTCCATAGTTCTTTCTTTGGATGTGGATAGTATTTTCCATCCCGAGGCCTGTGGAGATGCTTGTAATGCTGAGAAGGGTTAACTTTATCAATATTAGTCATCACACAACGAGGCTGTTATTGTGTACAATGTTCCTTGGTTCTGCTCACTTCACTCAGCATCAGATCATACAAGTCTTTCCAGGTTTTTCTGAAGTCAGCCTGTACATCATTTCTTATAGCACAATAGTATTCCATTATATTTATATACCACAACTTGTTCAGCCATTCCCCAATTGATGGGCATCCTCTCAATTTCTAATTCTTTGCCACCACAAAAAGGGCCGCTATAAATATTTTTTGTACATGTGGGTCCTTTTCCCATTTGTATGATCTCTTTGAGATACAGCCCTAGAAGTGCTATTGCTGGATCAAAGGGT